AGGAGTGCGACTACACCTCCAGCCCAGCCAAGTAGGAAGGAAGTGGAGAACTGGAAGATTAAAACGGGAGAGGATAGAGAGAGGGTGACGGAGGGAGGGATGGGGAAAGAAGAGGAGGTTTAACAGCTGAATGCACACTCAGAAGGGTTAGAGGCACCCAGACTGCGGTCAGCCCCGCTCTGAATGGCGGCAGGAAACAATGGGGCTTCTCATGGAGCCTGTCTGCTCCGCTCTGTGGTGGGCAAACCATTCAACTGCCTGCTGCCTCGGCCCTCTTCTTCTTCTTCTCTTTGGGAAAGTGTGTGTGTGTGTGTGTGTGTGTGTGGGGAGGGGGGGTTTATGAGCAGAGAGTCGGGTGCGCTGTGACCAGCAGCTGCCGCTCCCTCATTAGCATGCGCACCTGCTCCACACTGGCCCTCGCTGCATTATTCCAGCTCATAACTACACACAGCGATGTGTTGTCTGGGGTCAGTCGCACTCATTTCTGTGCATCAGATCTTAGTTCTTGTGGAAGCAGTCATATTGTCATTGTTTTGGTGCAAGAGTTCGATAAGCTATACGATAAACTATATATTATTAGCCCTTCTGTTTATTTTTTCCACAATTTCTGTTTAACGGACTGGAGATTTTTTAACATAATAGTTTTAATAACTCATTTCTAATAAAATGTTTATTTTATTTTTCCCATGATGACAGTACATAATATTTGACTGGATATTTTTCAAGATACTAGCAGGGCTTAATTTGTGGCGGAACACTCCGGATCCGGTGCTTTCAGTTTCTTCCGCGACTCAACCCTCTTCACTTTCCCCTCCGACATCCAACGCCCCGCCATCCCCCTCCCGCACTTTACTTTCGTTCCCCAACCAACCCCCCCGTTCTCCAATGTCACGTGCAAGCACTGGGTACTAGCATTCAGCATAAAGTTATTAATACAAACGTCACTGTTAGGGATGCTCATTTTGGTTAATTTTGCCAACTGACAACTGCCGCTCGTTAACAAATATTAACAGTTAATTGGTCAAATTAATATTGAAATATTATTTAATGAAAGGAAAATTGACGTGTCTATTTTGTGACACATTAAATATTGCTTTTTGAAATACTGATTTATTTTTACATGTGAACAACAGCATATAGAACTACGACTGCGACTGACGTAACATGCTTTTTTAACATGCTCAAGGTTGACTTTGTTTCATTTTATTTGTAAACTGCAAAAACGCAAGGCGGGCAGGGCACATAAGCAGCGTCAAAGAGCTTAGAATCACCAAGAGGCGACACTCTGTTGCTATTTGGGAAACAGCCACTAGATGCCGCTAGTGTCACACAGTGGCCATTTTGGAACGAAAATTCCAATAGGAAAACAGCACGGATAACTAGCACTAGACAGAATGAATTAAAAGACTGAGTTAAATACAAGTTAAAATGAGTACATGCCCTTTGGAAAGTAACATTTTAAAACAATATCCCAATGAAAACAGACAATATTCAAAATGTTGACAAGATTAAGCTTAATACATCTGATATCTAAAATATCTGTTTCACATATAACAAAAGTAAAGTTAACAAAATTACTTCATTACTGATTTTCTGTTTTACTGAACTTAGGGGGAAGCATAAATGAGTATACACAACAAAAACTACATTATCTCATTATCTGGTGGTTTGTATGGCCTCCATGATTTTTAACAACAGCATTAAAAATCATGAATATATATATATATATATATATATATATATATATATATATATACACACATTTGGAAAAAGTAGCTTTTTAAATAAAAACTCTATTACAGTCCCATCCCTGCCGTCCAAAGTCATGCCTCCTGAAATACGAATGCTCACATTAAGGATGACATTAGTGGAGACCCACTAAATCATGTCATTCGCCAGTTAGAAAACTTTATAATACTTTATAATACTACAATTCTGCACATTTTTATTTGTGTAGCAAGCAAAAGCATTAAAAAGGAACATGGAAATGTTATCTGACTAACAGCTAAATGTGTCTGGAAAAATATTCACAAATTTCATTCTCACAAACCGCGCGGAGCAGCAAAGGTCTGTATGTGTGAAAGGTCCTAATAACTTATACCTGTATCCTGCACTAGCTGCTATTGCACTTCTGGTTAGACCTAAACTGCATTTTGTTGCCTTGTATTTGTACATGTGTGATGACAATAAAGAATCTAATCTAATCTTTAATACAAACGTCAGTGTTAAAGTTCAGTTCAGTTCAATACAAACGTCACTATTGAAGAGCGATCCACTGTAGAGCAGCTCCTCCAAGCCATCACAGCAAAAAATCCCATTTACGATGGAGATTTATAACACTTGCATAACTCAGAGGAGTTTGTTGTTGTGCTGGTGAAGCAGACGCTGTTTGTACTGTGCAAAACCTAAACAACCCCCCCCAGAAAAATGCCCTTGGGACAATGAGAGGAAAGGTAGCATTGTGGGCAGCAGTGCGGTTCCCACCGACGCACTTAATGGTTATGTCGTGCCTGGTTCTCAGTCCCCTGTGTTTTCTTTTCTTGCTTGAACTTATTGGCCATCCTAATCCCAGGAGAGACACAGTAAAAACAGCCACCCCACCGAGGGGGGCCCCTGTTTGGATCAGAGCGCAGTGAACTGGGAATGTATTGAGATATTCCGACTGCCCCCCGGGGCCAAAAACATGCTTTCGATATTCCAGAGGCTCTAGGTGGCTTTAGCGTTTCGCAAAAGGTTATTTCAGCGTAGTCATGTCGAGGGAGGGCCCCTTTTTGTGTCTCTGAGTAAAATCGGCAAAAGATTACTTTTCAAGCCGACCCAGAAAAAACCTGTTATGAAGTCCGTACAGGTCTTTTACAAAAGTTTTTTCGCTGTGCCATCTCTGTATTCCCCAGAACCCGATTGATGCTGCGGAGACTCTTTACTGTAGAAGAATAGCAGGCATTGAGGTGGAGGAAGAGCGCTTTGAAGTCCTGATAATGTTAGCCCTGGGTTCAAAGACCCTTGTATAGACTCTGCCTTGTCTTTGGAGTGAATGAATTCAGATTCATTCAGAAAGGCTGAGGCGCTCGGATTTGCTCCCAGGAGCTGCTGATGGATCGCTGACTTTCATAAATCCATCTGAAACAGGATTAGACTTGTGAAGCAGAATCCCAAAACTTTGAGAGAACGTCAAACATTGAGAAAAGCCCATTTCTTTATACAGCAAGATGTCAATTACTCGTGCCCTTTTTTATAAGGCAATAATTATTTTCACATTATGGCTGATATTAGAATTGTATGCTAGTTTGTGTAGATAATAAAAAATAGAATACTAACATCAGTCATTTTTGATTATATGTGTGAATTTTGGCACCACAATAATAGTACAAAGTACATTTTGAGAAAATACTAATTAAATATTTATACAACCTGACAAAAGTCTTGTCGTCAGTCCCAATTGTAAGAACAACACACAATAACTTTACTTCTAGTTGATCATTTCAAGTGTCATAGGGTAGATTTTTCAGATGAATCATCATTCAGATGACCTACTAGAACCCACATGGACCCAATATTCTCAGAGAAATCGCTCAAGTTTGGTGAAGGAAACATCATGGTTTGGGGTTACATTTAGTATGAGGGCATGCGAGAGATCTGCAGAGTGGATGGCAACATCAACAGCCTGAGGTGTCAAGACATTTGTGCTGCCTATTACATTACAAACCACAGGAGAGGGCAAATTCTTCAGGAGGATAGCGCTCCTTCTCATACTTCAGCCTGCAGTAGTAGTGGCGCAGTAGGTAGTGCTGTCGCCTCACAGCAAGAAGGTTGCTGGTTTGAGCCTCGGCTCAGTTGGCGTTTCTGTGTGGAGTTTGCATGTTCTCCCTGCGTTTGCGTGGGTTTCCTCTGGGTGCTCCGGTTTCCCCCACAGTCCAAAGACAAGCGGTACAGGTGAATTGGTTAGACTAAATTGTCTGTAGTGTGTGTGTGTGAATGTGTGTGTTGATGTTTCCCAGAGATGGGTTGCGACTGGAAGGGCATCCACTGCGTAAAACTTGCTGGATAAGTTGGCGGTTCATTCTGCTGTGGCGACCCCAGATTAATAAAGGGACCAAGTAACAAGAAAATGAATGAATGAATGAATATTCGTCAAATTTATTAAAATAAAAGACACATTCAGTACAAACTAGGGCTGTCAAAAGATCAAATTTTGAATGTTTGTCGAATGTATTAAAATAAAGGACACATTCAGAACAAACTGGGGCTGTCAAAAATGACATTTTGTATATTTGTCGAATTTGTTGATTTTTTGGGTTGTCAAATTTTGAATGTTCATTGATTTTATTAAAACAATTATGCATTCAAGATGACCTAGGGCTGTCAAAAATTTAACTTTGAATATTCGTCGAATTTATAAAAAAAACACACAAAAAAAACGACGCATTCAGAATGACTGATTTTTGGATATTCATGGAATTTATTAAAACAATTACATATTCAGGACGACCTAGGGCTGTCAAAAATTGAATTTTGAATATTCGTTAAATGTATTAAAAAAGACACATTCAGTGCCAACTAGGGCTGTCAAAAAATTTATGATGGATTTTTCATTGAATTTATTTTAAAAAGACGCATTCAAAAAAAACTAGGGCTGTCAAAAACAAATTGGATTTTGAATATTCGTTGAATTTATTGAAATAAAATACACATTTAGTATAAATTAGAGCTGTCAAATGTCTAGTTTTAGGTATTTTTCAAATTTATAAAATTAAACACACATTCAGAATAAACTAGGGCTGTCAAAGAAAATCTAATTTTGAATATTCATTGAATGTATTAAAAAAAAGACACATTCAAATGTGTTAAGAGGTGCGCAAGATGATGATGTAATTGTGGGAGTTTTGAATAACTCATGCTATGATACAGAAAATTCTGGAGTTTTCCTACTCCTTAAATTGAAATATCGTCTAGCTCAAATTAAGCTCAATGAATTATTGTGGCTTGTTTCCACTCTACAGGTGTCTGGATCTGTACGCCGGCCCAGCGTGCCAGTTCCGCAACCCTTGCTTCCAATCCCCGTGCAGAAATGGTGGCGTGTGCCGTTTGATCACTTCTGCCAACAAGGTGGACTTTGTCTGCAACTGCAGCCTGGGCTACACGGACCGATTGTGCCTCACTCCCACCAACAACGTGTGCCTTGGTGCTCCGTGCCGAAACGGAGGAACGTGCGAACTCACCAGCATCCACAACTACAGGTGTAAATGCCCACCAGGCTGGTCAGGTGAGCCCCCAATCCAGTATTAACATCCTTGAAATCAATAATTATTATTAATTTTTGCAAATTTAAAAAATCTGATATGGCAATATTTTGTTTTGCTGTGATTTATAGTGTGATATGGATATGATCTCGTGAATTTAAATCAACTGATGTGATCAAGTCTTTTTATATGCAGTGGATGCACATAATTTATAATAAATTACAAGCAACAATAAATAAATAACCAGTGCTTTATGGGGATTCTAACAGTATTCAAGTACAGAAATTGAACAATTAAGCGTAAAATAACATGATCATCGTTGTGTAAATAATTTTTAAAATATTAATATTTAATAGTATCCTTATCTTTTAATCTCTAATAATTAATTTAGTAATCTAATCCTGCTGTCACAATCACCAGCGATCCAGCATTTGCAGATCACTGAAGAACTACACACATGCCACCACATAAACTACAACTACCAGGAAGCTTTGCACAAATCTACTCCCGCAACAGCTGACAATAATCCAGACAATCACTCACACACACAACTGAAACTCGTGTTGTATGATTACCTGGACTATAAACACAGCACACACACACTTCTGGGCTGTGTGTGTGTGAGTGAGTGTACAGATTATTGTCAGCTGTAGCTGGAGTTGATTTGCGCAAGACATCCTGATAGTTGTAGCTCATGTGGTGGGATGTGTGTAGTTCTCCAACAATCTGCAAACGCTGGATCGATGATGATTGTGACGGCAAGATTAGATTGGACCGCAGACACCGGCGATGTTTCTATTGCAGATGCTCAACATATATATTGTTAAGCCCTAATTTTAATCTACTGATTTTTGAAAAAGTGCTTAAAAATTTTATTAGTTTTAAAACATTTTATAGTTTTTTTTACATAATTTATTTCACTAAATAGATAATCATAATACACTATTTCAATCAAATAAAATCAATCTCTTTGCTTTCGCATAAAATCAATAGCATGTGGTAGCATGAGCTGCCTGTCTTTTTAAAATAAATTAAAATAACTGTAAAATTAAAATGAAAGATAACATATTTTAGATGGATGTCAATGACATTTAAAAAATTAAATAATAGTAATTTAATGTTGGACTTTGGGTAAACATGCCATCAGATATCGCAAAGTGCTAATCTGCTATAGTCACATTGCAGGATGTAAAGCGATTTAAAGTAAATTGAAACCATTTGAACAGTAAACTACAAAGTGTGCCACTTTAACAAAGAATAATTGTTTAATTTTTCATAAAGTGAAAACCATACAATGTTATTTTAAATTCGATTATTCTTTATCTGTACCTTGACACTGTTTCGGTGGAGCTCAGGAGCCACCATAGGCTCATTCTGAAAATGTAGATCGCAAATTATGTAGCCAGAAGTACATATAGCTGCATTTCGTCTTTAAAATGAACGCTACGGGGCGGTGTGACGCCGATGTGGACAGCTTTCCCGCTGTTACTAGTTTGTCCAGTGGCTCGTCGCTTATGTCTCAGACTTGAGACGCCAAAAGGAGTTGAACATGACGACGGGATTCAGTTGGTCAGTCGACAGAGGCTTCTGGTGGCTTTACGCGAGAACAACAGGCACGAATGGCACTCGTGAAAGAAATTTGAGATCTGAAAAAGCGTACACAGCGGCCTCTGGTGCATTCATGAAAACAAACACTGCAAAAAAACGTAGCTCCTGGCACATATTTGGCGCTCTCCAGAAATATAGATACCGGTACGTTTTCAGTATGAGCTTGGGTTGAAAACAAAAGATCGCAATGTCAGTTCTTTTAAATATCTAACGATTAGCATCTGATATAATGAAGTATATATTTTTATATAATTTTCCACAATTGTAAAGTGCTGGAAAAGTTTGGAAAATGCACCTGGAAAATGCTTAAATTTGAAGAAAGCAATTGGGAAAAGTCTACACTAACATCTAAAAGTGTGTTCTGACCTTAAATGCTCTCTATCGCCAGGTAAAACCTGCCAGCAAGCTGATCCCTGTGCCTCGAATCCTTGTGCCAATGGTGGTCAGTGTAGCCCCTTTGATTCGGACTTCCTCTGCCACTGTACACCTTACTTCTCAGGCCAAACCTGCAAACAAGATGTCAACGAGTGCGCGCAGATTCCCTCTCCGTGTAAGAACGGTGGCGTGTGTGAGAACGGAGTGGGCACGTATCACTGCAACTGTCCCGCCGAGTACACTGGGAAACACTGCGAGAGCCTGTATCAGCCGTGTAACCCCTCGCCATGCTTACACGGGGGCACCTGCGTACAGAAGGGGGAGACCAGTTATGAGTGCTCCTGTCTGCCAGGTAAGTGTCTTTAAAGTAGACATGAAAACAAAACTGACTATATGATATTGTTAGCTCACCTTTTTAGTTTTGGGGTGAATAATTCATCTGTGCATGTCATTAAGAAAAAATAAATAGGCTGTCCTTGTAATCTAAAATTTAAATCTGAAAATGCACTTCCTGTTTGTTTTTAGTTAAATTTTCAGATTACGTCTGTCTGAGGGCGTGACCACCATACTTAACCACGCCTCACACACTGTCAGTTTTGACGACAAACAGAAAGGAGGAGTCTGTTAGGTTGTAATAACTCTCCCAAAAGGCTTATCCTGATATTTCTGAATGAACTGCATACTTTACTACATCCAATCAGCTTGCAATAGAAAAAACAAGCCACGCCCACTGTTTTCTCATTTAATATTCTGTTTTTCTAGGAACTGCAATACAATACGAAAAAAACGGTTGCAGCTTCCAGTTCATGTGGACTTTAAAGGTCTCGTGAAGTGCTTTGAAATGTGCATTTTTATTGAATGTCAACTGAAACTTGAAGAGAGGGTGTGGCATAGTGTAACCCCTCCCCTTTAACAAAAAGAGCCAATAGTGTTTTGTTTTACTCTCAGCTCTGCCAGTGAGAGTGGTTGAGCTCAAGCACATCGAATGTGAAGCATCTTGAAGGGGCGTGGCATGTCAGATACTAGAGAGCATTTGATTGGTCAGAGAATTTGATAAGAAACTGAAGTATGAGGTGATGTGAATAAAACCGCTATTCTTATTAAGCGGAAGTGAGAAAACTGCAAGCTTTACATGTTTATATCTGATTTATATCTTCTGGATGCTAATTAAGCTTATAGATATCCTGAAATCTAACAATACTGATACTTACAACTTTATTAGAACTTTACATTTACCAGTAGCTGCTTTTTTAGATGTTATTCAGTCTCTTCAGGATTTTGTGAAATTTTTGCGACTAAAATGCCTGATTTTGTGACGAGTTTTTGCAAAATTTGCAGCAAATTTAATGGCTTTTTATATTGTTTTGCTGTGAAAATATTTACAAAGATGTACACATCTTAATGCTTTATTAAGTTAGTTTGAACTTGGAATTCACTGATTTCTGTCAATTGTTTAAAGGAAGCACTGAGAGAAACTAGACTTTACCCCTAAAGCTGCTGGATCATATTTGAAAATCAAACCTTTTTTTACCTGCAAGTTTTGGAATGAGTATGTGCGGTTAAAATAAACATATAAAGTAAAATAAATATATTGTAATATAGTTTAATCATTTATAATAAACATAATTAAAAAGTGACGTTTATTTATAAACTAATTTCGAGAGGATCACGTGCTTATGATTGACCACAGCTGGTCCTGCAATAGCAACACAGGATTCACCAATCAGATCCTAACCCATTATAAATACGTAGCGTTTCTTACCTTAGTCATCCTTGTCTTCAAGAATCCCTCATTCCGCCCCTACTCCTCCCCCTTTTCCTGACAGGGCGGGACGGCTGCCCAATAGTTAACACTGTTGCCTCACAGCAAGAATGTCACTGGTTCAACCCCACTTGGCCAGTAGACGTTTCTGTGCAGTTTGCATGTTCTCCCCGTGCTTGCATGGGTTTCCCCTGGGATTATCCAGTTTCCTCCAACAGTCTTTCCACCCAAAGGCATGCGACATAGGTAAATTGACCAAACCAAATTGGCACCATTGATGAGCAATCAGCAATCCCTAATCGCTTTCAACTATTAATGAGTTAGGGAGTTCTCGAGACCTACCTGAGCTCAAACTCCCCTCTAACCCTATAAAGGGAAAGGAGCCCCAGGCTTAAGGATCTTATAAGCTGAGGGCTCTCTCCAGGGACCACATGCCATATGCGATTTATAATCAATCGTCAGCTGAACTCTTGACTTACACAAATAAATAAAAAAATAAAAAAGTGCCACACAGGCACTTAAAATGTTTTAAAAATGTTACGACTTTTCGAGACTGTAGTGCACAGCTTGTACTGGATCAGGTTCACTACGTAATGGACGATTGCCTACACCAGGGGTCGGCAACCCAACATGTTGAAAGAGCCATATTGGACCAAAAAAAACAAAAAACAAATATGTCTGGAGCCGCAAAAAATGTAAAGCCTTATATAAGCCTTATAATGAAGGAAACACATGCTGTATGTATCTATATTAGCTATATTAGCCTACTAAAAAAATTTGTAAGTTGGCTATAAATACATAATGAGCCTTCATGATTAAATAGCCACTGAAATAAGGTGGTTGGTGTTTATTTCGTTGTCATTTAAACACTTCAGCACAGCCTCTGGTCTTTCAGTGGTATTAATTTGATCATTTCTTCTTGCGGCCCATCAGAGTTCACATACCTGCATAAAAGCGCTTTGAATATCGGTCACATCACAGGCAATTGAGTATGCTGGCACTGAATTAATGTCCTTGGTTTGCTGATCGGTGATGTTACCTGCCATTTTAATAGCCCTTTCCTTCACTGTCTTAGCAGAGAGAGGTATATCTTTAATTTTTTGTATTGTCTTGATTTTGTTTTTGAATTCTGCAAGTAGGTGTTCTAATATGTTGAATGACTCCTTCATGTAGTCACCATCTGTGTACGGTTTTCCATGCTTTATTATCTTCCGGTTTGTTTACAACAGCCACCTGCCTGGCATCCCACCCTGCTGATAGAAACGTGTGTCGCAGGCTATGACGCAAATCTTCGTTGACAGAAATGTTGAAATTAAATATTAATTCTACACACTTTTACAGCATTTAAAAACGTTAAAAATGTTTGTCCTCCTATAGAAATCATATTAAAACTGAAAAAATATATTAAACTCCCCCATCTTTTTCCATTTTCAAACATTTTTGAAAAAGCTCCAGGGAGCCACAAGGGCAGCGCTAAAGAGCCGCATGCGGCTCTAGAGCCGCAGGTTGCTGACCCCTGGCCTACACATACCCCATCACAGTAGCATGGGCCAGTACGTCATCATGGTTACAGGCTGCAGTGAGGACATCCTGAACTTTTCTGCATAAAATAACAAGAACAAAGCGTTGACTACTCAACTCAAATAATTGCAAATAAAAAAGCAGTAAAATAATTACAACAGACTAATACAATTCATAACTATACAAATAGATTGTTAGTATTAGAATTGATACGTTTTAGTACTTCAAATGTAAATCAATGGCATATTTTGCCGTGCTGGCAGCTAGCTCTCTGCAACTCTCACATGGTCACCCATTTAAGCTAAGCAGAGCTGTGCCTGGTCAGTACATGGATGGGAGACCACATGGGAAAGCTAGGTTGCTGCTGGAAGTGGTGTTAGTGAGGCCAACAGGGGGTTCAACCTGCGGTCTGTGTGGGTCCTAACGCCCCAGTATAGTGAAAGGGACTCTATACTACTCAGTGAGTGCCGTCTTTCAGATGAAACCAATGTCATGACTCTTTGTGGTCGTTAAAAATCCCAGGATGTCCTTCGAAAAAAAGAGTAGGGGTTTAACCCACTGGTCTCTGTCTGTCATGGCCTCCTAACCATGTGCGGTCTGGTGCAATATGGCTGCCGTCGCGTCATCCAGGTGGATGTTGCACACTTTTGGTGGATGAGGAGAACCCCCCCCAATGTGTAAAGCGCTTTGAGTGTCTAGAAAAGCGCTATATAATTGTAAGGAATTATTATTGTTTCATTGATTTTAATTTTAATGAATGAACGGTTCTAATTATACAATAAAGACATTGAAATAAAATTACCAAAAAATAACAATACTCATAGTTGTCTCGTCTCGCATGGGTATCTGAATCAGCATGAACAGTACGTCAACATGCACTATATAATGTACTGTAGGTCTAATGCTTATGTGATTATGTATTTAGCTGACTTGTTCTAGCATATACCTTTTCTTGGCTTAAGAGTTGTTTGCCATGCTAACAATCCAAAGACTCAATGTCTCATGATTATAGGCTGTAGGGTTTGAATCTTTTTAATCATGACGAGGGCTTTAACTGACATTAGTTATGAAACAAATGACGGATCAATGGCAGCCTCTCCGCTTTGATCAGTCCGAGGAAATCCACTCAGCTTATTTTGACTCACGAGTGTCCTGTTGACGACGTCTGTTCCAGCGGCAAGACTAATGATAGCGGTCTCGTGTCCGGGTCAGAGCTGAAGGTAGAGATTTCAGATGAGCTCAGTGAGTTTGCAATAACAATGCATTATCAGTGTTTCCCACAACTTTGGGGGAACGTGGGATAGGCTACGTGTCCTAGCATGCACTTCTCGCAGTGTCATTTAAACCCAGTCTAATCATGATATCTGTGCTCCCATATGAAAAAAAAAATCTGTCTAAAAAACAAAAAAACAGAAACAATGCCAAATGTGTTTTGTAATGTGAACTTGCTCAATTTTTATTTTTTTAAACATTATGGATATATTTTTTATATATTATTATTATTATAATCCATATTTTTTTATGGATTATTTTGTTTGATTTATTTTATTGATTATTTTATTTATTTCCCAGAGATGGGTTGTGGCTGGAAGGGCATCCGCTGCATAAAACATATGCCTAATAAGTTGGCGGTTCATTCTGCTGTGGCAACCCCGGATTAATAAAGGGACTAAGCCGAAAAGAAAATGAATGAATTAATTATTTAATTAATTTCTTTGTTTCATTTTGTTTCATTTTATTATTTTTTATTTAATTTTATTTGAAGGATAATTTTTTTTCATAGATTATTTTATTTTATAGATTGTTTTATTGTATTTATTATATTTTAAAGTTTATTTAATTTATTTTTATTTCATTTTATGGATTATTTAATTTTATTTAATTTTATTATTTTAATTGTATTTTTTTTCATTTTAATATTATTTATTTTTTATTATATTGTTGTTATTTTTGTTATTTTATTTTATTGTATGTTATTTTATTTCATTTTATTTATGGATTATTTTATTTCATTTCATTATTTTATTTTGTTTGTATTTATTTTTATGGATGGTTTTATTTTATTTGATTTACTTTATGAAATATTTTATTTTATGGATTATTAAATTTTTTTATTTTATTTTATTAATGTTTTAAATGGAACAAAAGTGACTGAAAAGACTTGTATAATATTATATACTTTTTATTTCAAACAAATACTATTTTGCTTAAACAACTATATGTATATATATATATATATATATATATATATATATATATATATATATATATATATATATATATATATATATAGTATATTTGGTTACACTTTTACATTTCAAGGCGTCTTTCTTACAGTGTAACTGCTGACTACTGTTAATTACAGGACATGTACTTACTTTCAAGAGTTCACACTTAGATATTGCTTGACAGCTGTAAGCAGGTTTGGCATGCTGTCCCGGGAGAGAACCCTGAGCTCGGAGATAGTTGAGCCCAGGGCTCCCGCCAGGTCCATAGAGCATGTGAGGGGAGTACGAGATCAGGTGGTTCTCGAGAGCTCCCCTTTTTAAAGGAGGAAAGGAGGAGAAAGGGGGTGGATGGGGGGTTTCTTCGGAAAACGAAGATAAGGGAGTAATGTCTAGCTAGGCTACTTATAGTGGGTTAGGATAGATCTGATTGGCTAATTAATGAGTGTAGATAGGTGGCCAGCTGCAGTCAATTATATCACGTGCTCCTCTCAAAATTAGTTTAAAAACTTCACTTATGGTTAAGATTGTAATACGGGTTAGTTATGGTTAGTTGCATGTAACTATGCATAATTAATTTTATCTACTAAAGACTTTGGCAAGTACATGAAACGTTTAACAAGGACACCTTAACATAAAGTGTCAGCATGCATTTTTAAAAATGTAAAAAAAAGCCGAAAAAGTATTTGTACAATTGTTTTTGTAAAAATATTGAACGAAATTGAGTTATAATTTTAATTCAAAAATGTTGATAAAATGTATTTATAAATTAAAGAAATAAAACATAATTAAATGTATACATACATTATTATATATGTATGTATAATGTATATAAAACAATTATTATTATTTAATACTTTCTGTATAAAATGTATGTGTTTTTTGCAATATGGGCTCCTCTGCATGTGTTTTTGTGTTAACAGGTCGGCAGGAATTTGTGCTTATCATGAGGAAATGTCTGAACGACTACTTCCTTATGCTGGTGTTCATAGGTTAAAGTCAGTGTTTGGAAAACACTGTGTGTGTGTGTGTGTGTGTGTGTGTGTGTCTGTCCATTCACTACACTAGATCTGAGTGGACCTCGTATCATCTAAATAAACCTAAGCTCAGCTGTGAGGAAACATCACTAAAGTCACGTCTTCCATGCTTTTGTCGGAGTCACACATATTATATCACTGTGATCAGTTATGAAACACATCCTAAGTGAAATTTTTGGAGTTAATTTGTAGGAAATTGTGGTTAGAGTCGGTTGGGTTGTTGTCGTTGATGCCTCTAACAGAATCCTGGTACTGCAAGTCTTCTTAGAAAAGGAAGACTGTTGACCGCAAAAACACTAACGACTGTTTTTCAAATGTCGCAGAGAGTTTCACAACATTTTTTCCCTCTATTTATGCTGGGAAACAATTGAATTTGCATGTTTGTGTTAAAGGATCTGTGCTGTGCAATCTGATATAAATATTTAGGCCTCAGAGAGCCAACATGAGTTCTGTCAGCAAACAGTTGCACAAATATTTATTTATACGTCTAGAATATTTGAATTTATGGGTTATTATATTTGATGTTGATTAATATTTTTTTGCTTATATTATATTATATTATATTATATTATATTATATTTTATTTTATTTTATTTTATTTTATTTTATTTTATTTTATTTTATTTTATTATTATTTAAAATAATATATTTATATATTATATTTAATTATATTAATTATATTATATTATATTATATTATATTATATTATATTATATTATATTATATTATATTATATTATATTATATTATGTTATATTATATTATGTTATATTATATTATATGTAATTATATAATATTATATTATATTGTTTTATGTTATATTATATTATATTTAATTATTTTATGTAATATTATATCATATTATATTATTTTATGTTATGTTATGTTATGTTATGTTATATTATTTTATGTTATGTTAAATTATATTATATTTATTTATTTTATTACATTATTATACAGAAAGGTTATCATTAATCAACATAATGTTGATTTTAATTTATTGCTTCTATTCTATTTATTTTACTTTAGAGCAAATCATATGGACATATTTATGCTAAATTGTATTATTATATTATTAATGCATAATAATAAAATCAATCAAAATGTACAAAAAATTATATAATTTCACAAAATTTGTGAATATGACAGGCCTTTAAGCTCAAGAAACATGCTAGTATTGGTGTTAAAAAAAATGTTTAGTTTCAAAAGTTTTGATACTTCTTTTTTGTGGAAACTGTAATGCATTTTTTTTAAAAGACTAGATTAAAGAAAAAGTGAAAATCTTTACATTCATTTTAACGAATGACATGCTTTTATTTATTTATTTATTTTTTACAACAAATTTATAAAGCTATTTTAAATATAAAACAAAACCTACTGAAGATTTGAATAGTGAACTTTATAAAATTGTTGCACTAAGCAAGCAGATTATAACGTGAACAGCTGTGAGACATTTGGGATTGAAAAATGATTTATTTTAGATTTTTCAAATCATTTATTTTTCCAGGTTTTAGTGGGCAGAACTGCGAAGAAAACATCGATGATTGTCCAGATCATCGCTGCCTTAATGGAGGGACCTGTGTGGATGGAGTGAACACCTACAATTGCCAGTGCAAACCAGAGTGGACAGGTACAGTACCACATCCTACCTAAATGCTTACTTGATTCACTGACTTTTGCAAACAACATTGAGGTTTTATTACTGAGGTTCTACACCGGGGAGTGGGCTTGACAAACCACCTGTCGAAAACACACTCTTTCATCTCTCTGATACTTTAACCGACACATGTGCACCAGTTTTTGCACATTTGCACCAGACAATTTCTTGCAATCTTTCCATATCTCTTTAAAAAACTCACAGTGGGGAGTGGGCTTTACAGACCACTTGTATAAACACTGTAGCCTTTAATTTCCGGAGCACAAACCGTTCCTTTGTATAATTAGCACTTCTGGTGTGTATTGCCTCTCCTTGTTGAATCGCTGAATGCCTCCTCAGTTTTAAGTGGACAAAAGTGTCTGCTTAGTGACTAAATATAATAAAATTTGTACCTTCAAGTCAATATAAGTCACTTTCCACAATTGCCATATGCTTATGTGTAAAAATGATTAGGCTTCATTAGGCTTCATCCCTGCGAGGTCTTAAAAATGATTAAAAGTAGATCAAATAAACCACGGGTCGGAACACAAGTGACCTGCGTATTAATAGTTTAATAACTTTTTGCCTGTGGATTAATCCTAAATCTGTAACGATCGCTGAGAGATCACCTCCCGCGTCATTCAAATTACATGAATGAAAGCATTTAGGCCTTTTTGTAAAATATATTGATGACAGAAGAAGTTGTGGTGGGTTATTCGGGATGTGGAAGGTTTCTTAGGTTATTAAAGGTGTTTTCTGTCACTACTTGTTTAGCCTGCAATAATGCATTCAGTGTACGCTGCACGATTAATCATTAAAAGATTGGGATCTCAACACCCACGCAACATAAATTATAAATGATGGTGATTTTCATTCATTCATTTTCTTGTCGGCTTAGTCCCTTTATTAATCCGGGGTCGCCACAGCGGAATGAACCGCCAACTTATCCAGCAAGTTTTTACACAGCGGATGCCCTTCCAGCCGCAACCCATCTCTGGGAAACATCCACACACACATTCACACAACCACACACTACAGACAATTTAGTCTACCCAATTCACCTGTACCACATGTCTTTGAACTGTGGGGGAAACCAGAGCACACGAAGGCAGGGAGAACATGCAAACTCCACACAGAAACGCCAACTGAGCCGAGGTTCGAACCAGCAACCCAGCGACCTTTTTGCTGTGAGGCGACAGCACTACCTACTGCGCCACTGCCTCGCTGGTGATTTTCATATGTTTATTAATCCTCGAATCGCTGCATTCAAATCTGTGTTTGAAACACGCAAATATCAGGAAAGAAATTCAGCGTTTAGTCTTTTGAGTTAGTTACAAACAGTCAAATAAGACAAAAGCAAAGGGATAACAGTTTAAAGTTTAGATAAATGCACTGATGTTCATGGTGAAGATTATAATCACCGTCATATGCATTTAACAATGCTCAAAAATTAAAGCTGTAGGCAGCTATTACAATATTTAACCAATAGGTGGCGACAAACAGGCATGAAAATATGGCACTGAATATTTCTTCAAAAATGATCATCTAGCAATGAAACGTAAAGATTTATGAGTGAATAACTAAATCATTTATTAAAAATACGACAAAAAATGTTATTTTTTGTAATAAATGGCAAGCATATTACATTTGTCTCCTCCCCTTTTTGGCTGATCCAAAAAATGGTCAGATACTTGACTAAAAAACCACAATGTGATCAGAACCGTGCGATCTGTGATTCGTTACACCAATAATATTAATAATGTTTTAGCTTTGCATTAGTTTCTTACAATCAGTATTTAGCAAATATAAGTTGTCACAAAATGTCACCAATGTTACCGGTTGAAGCGTAAAGTGGCTAAAGTGGGTTTAAAATATATGGAAGAGTCTTAAACTAGATCTTAGAAGGTATTGAATTTTACTCACTGATTCTTGTATATACTGTACCATGTTTAAAGGAAAAGCATTCATTTTTGCAGTGAACTGATTAGTTTTTATTTAAATTCTTCAGGTCAGTTCTGTACCGAAGATGTCAACGAGTGCGATTTGATGCCCAACTCCTGCCAGAACGGTGGCACGTGCTTGAACACGCAGGGTGGGTATAACTGTGTGTGCGTGAACGGCTGGACGGGGGACGACTGCAGCGAGAACATCGACGACTGCGCAGATGCAGCCTGTCATACTGGAGCCACATGCCACGATCGGGTGGCCTCCTTCCTCTGCGAATGTCCTCACGGGCGCACAGGTGCACAGTGTTTTTTTTTCTTTTTTTCTTTTCTTTTTCGCATGCATGTGGATTACAGTTTGAGGCTCTTGTTCTGTTATTTGAACATTAGCCTTTTTCAATTCAATACATCTTTATTTCTATAGCGTTTTTACAATGTAGATAGTGTTTAAATAGCTTAACATAGAAGAAGTTCTAGTAAATTGAAACTTAATTCAGTTCAGTGTGATATAAATATCACTGCTGAAAGCCCAAACACTCAAGAGCAAATCCAATGATGCACAGCTATACAAGTTCCAACATAGGCTCATTCTGATAGCGTAGCCCTATTTACATTTCTGGAGATCGCGACTTATGTAGCCAGAAGTACTTATGGCTGCATTTCATCTTTAAAACGAATGCTACAGGGCGGTATGACACCATTCCGTTTCGCGCTAGCAGCTGACCGCTTACCTCCGTGTGGACGGCTTTTGTGCTGTTACTAGTTTGTCTAGCAGCTCGGCATGCACGTTGGTAAACTTGAGATGCCGAGAGGAGTTGACCACGATGATAGCGTTTGAGTCTAGCAAAGAAAGGTTCCAGAGAGCAGGTAAGACAAAAACAGACGCCAAAAATTAAATAAACAAGTAAATAACTGGTTGAGAATGTGGTAAAATCTGAAAATGTGGTAAAAAATCAGGCGAGGGCTTTTCTTTTTCTGGATTTCTTTTTTTAAAACTGTCTGTAGGGTTTAGAGAAGGCGGTGGGCGGGTTAATCGGTGCTTTTAAAAACACTAATGGTTGGGTTTAGGGAAGGAGGAGGGTGGGTCAGTTAATCAGTCAGTCAGCCAGTCAGTCTACAGCAGCCTCTGGTGGATTTACACGAGAACAGCAGGCGTGAATGGCACCCACGAGATGTATTTAGCATCTCAAAAAGCATACACAGCGCCCTCTGGTGGATTTGCAAAAACAAAAACTATCAATGTGATCGGATTGACCGAAAATACTTCTCAATAGCAGGTGTTAACTTTAAGTCGCAAAACACTCTTGATCCTAATGTAAATACCTCAAGATAATTGTTATCGTGTGTGTCTGTGTTTCAGGTCTGTTGTGTCATCTAGATGATGCTTGCATTAGTAACCCGTGTCAAAAAGGCTCTAACTGTGACACCAACCCAGTCAACGGCAAAGCCATCTGTACCTGTCCACTGGGTTATGTTGGGCCGGCCTGTGACCAAGACGTTGATGAATGCTCACTGGGTGAGAACTGACCTTCATTCATTCATTTTCTTGTCGGCTTAGTCCCTTTATTAATCCGGGGTCGCCACAGCGGAATGAACCGCCAACTTATCCAGCAAGTTTTTACGCAGCGGATGCCCTTCCAGCCGCAACCCATCTCTGGGAAACACACAAACATTCACACACACACTCATACGCTAGGGACAATTTAGCCTACCCAATTTACCTGTACCACATGTCTTTGGACCGTGGGGGAAACCGGAGCACCCGGAGGAAACCCACGCGAACCCAGGGAGAACATGCAAACTCCACACAGAAACGCAGACTGAGCTGAGGCTCGAACCAGAGACCCAGCGACCTACTTGCTGTGAGGCGACAGCACTCTAGACACTGCGTCACCCATCAAAAGTATATTTATATTTTAATACTTTCATTATTAATATTATCTATGATACAGATCAGAGCAAACTTTTTAAAAGGCAGACCTAAAAGACATACATCTGGATTTGATTTCCTTTAGGGGGGTTCAGACATTAATTAAGGGGGTCAGACCCCCCCAAACCCCCCTGTCACTCACACACTGGCTATAATGGACAAAATTACAACTAGAATATGAAAAATAGTCATTCTATCCCTTTTTATGGTTGCATCTAGTGACATTGTGTCTTATTTTTGGATGTCTATGGTCTATACTGCATTCATATTACCATCGAACCTCACTACAATTCCTCTAGAAGTGGATTGAAGTCTTGGTATTCTTGTATGGTGTTTACAAAGGTCTGGATACCTGTAGCATCCTTCAGACTTTTTAAATGAACTGCACTAACAGAGCAATCACACCAGCATTTTAATCATCCCTTAAACACCGCAGCAATTGGCCATTAAGCCAACATTGTAAAAATCTAGTTAGGATCATGAAATATTTTTAAATGCAGTGTTTTAATAGCGTTTTGTGTCCATCTTTTAGGTGCAAACCCTTGTGAACATGCTGGAAAGTGTATAAACACAAAAGGCTCGTTCCAGTGTAAATGTCTGCAGGGATATGTTGGAGCTCGATGTGAGCTGGACATAAATGAGTGCCTTTCCACCCCGTGCCAAAACGACGCCACCTGTTTAGATCAGATTGGAGGATTCCATTGCATCTGTATGCCAGGTAACTGGTGGAACCCCTGTATTTGGTTTAGGAAACATTTTAATCAATTGGGGATGTTATTACCTCACACTGAACAAAATGCTTTTCTTAGTTTTTTCTTGTTTCTAGTACTGGTTTCTTAAATTAAAAAGCATTTTCTTGATAAGGAAAACTTCTTGTTTTCAAAAATAATAAGTCAAAATTAAGTGAGTTTTTCTTTAAAAGTAGCATCTTAATCTTCCAATAGGTTGCCATCGATAACAACGAAAAAGCAAACTTAATTTTGACGTATTATTTCTGAAAATAAGATATTTTTACTTGTCTAGAAAATTCTCCTTAATTTAAAAATGTATACATATTAATTAGTTAATTAATGTATTTATATATTTTTAGTTATCTATTTTTTATTCATTATTATTTTATTATGTATTTTTATGTATTATTATGTATTTTATTATTGTGTATTATTATTTATTTATTTATTTATTATTATTATTAATTTATTATCTGTTTATTATTTACTTATTATTATTTACTTATTTATTTTTATTTATTATTTTATATTTTTATTTTCATTTATTTTTTATTATTTGTATTTTTTAGAGTTGAAATTCTTTTTAAAACGCAAAGGAAAAACTTTTTTTTTCATTTTTGGTAACAAGAATAATGAAATTGATGGCAGACTGTGTAAGGATTACTTAATTGTTCAGTTATAACTTTTTTATCAGCATATATGAGATGCGAAGCGATATTTTGTAATAATTCAATAATTCCAGAGTGAATTATTTTGCTTACACTGTACTATGGTTACCAAACTTAAAAAATATTAATCAAATGTTCTATTTTAAGACATTTATACTTAAACAGCTGCTGTGTGGGACTAGTTTCTTGTGCATTTCATTCAAAGCCTTTTGTTTTGATTTTATTTTTGACTAATGTAGGCTGTGAAATAACTCAAAATCATTTAGCGTAGTGATATGCAACTGTAATGCGGCCAAAACCTACCTGGAACTACTTTAACTGTGTGTCTATCTGAAGATAATTGCTTTAATATTGTTTTAATATTATCACTGCAAATATTAAATATTACAGCAAACTGCAATATTTAAGTTTTTATTAATTCCTTTTTGTGATTTTAAATTGGTTTATAATTTATATATTTTATATTAGTATGAAAGCTTATATGTTATTTTAGGTTTTTAGAGTGTTTTCTTTTGTTTTTATGGCAATTATAACTGTCAAAAGTAAATATTACTAAAAAACTGTGCAATATTTAAATTTTTATTAATTCCTTTTTGTGATTTTAAATTGGTTTATAATTTATATAACTATATTTTCATATATTTATAAAAAGCTTATTAATTATGCTAGGTTTTTATAGTGTTTTTGATGTTTTTAAAATCACAATTATCACTATAAAAAGTAAATATTATAGTAAACTGTGTAATATTAATTTTTGTTTACCATTTTAATTTGGTTTATATTTTATATCACTATATTTTCATGTAAACCTATTCAATATGTTATGTTTTTATAGTGTTTTCTGGTTTTTTTATGACAATTATGACTGTCAGTAGTATATATTATAGCAAACTGTGCAACATTTAAGTATTTAGTTATCCTTTTTGGCATTTTAAGTTGGTTTATATTTTATATACCTATATTTGTATATATTTAAGAAAGCTTATTCTTTAATTTAAGTTTTTATAGTGTTTTCTGATGTTTTTTTTATGACAAGTATCAATGTCAAAAGTAAATATTATAGTAAACTGTGCAGTATTACTTTTTTTTGCCATTTTAAATTGGTTTATATTTTATATAACATTATTTTCATAAATTTATGTAAAGCTAATAATTATGTTTTTATAGTGTTTTCTAATGATTTTTGGACCATTATGACTGTCAGTAGTATATATCAAAGGAAACTGTGCAATATTTAAGTGTTTATTTAATCATTTTTGGCATTTTAAATTGGTTTATATTTTATATATCTATATTTGTATATATTTAGGAAAGATTATTCATTAATTTAGGTTTTATAATGTTTTCTGATGTTTTTATGACAAGTATCAATGTCAAAAGTAAATATTATAGTAAAATGTGCAATATATATATATATATATATATATATATATATATATATCTATATCTATATATGTATATATATATATATATATATATATATATATATATCTATATATATATATATATTTGCATTTTATATTGGTTTATATTTTATATCACTATATTTTCACGTTTTTGAAAAATTATTAATTATGTTAGGTTTTTATAGTGTCTTCTGATGTTTTTTTATGACAATAATGACTGTCAATAATATTATATTTAAATATATTATAAATATTATATTATAAATATATAATATTATAAATAATATAGCAAACTGTGCAACATTTATGTATTTATATCTTTTTGTGATTTTAAATTGGTTTATATTTTATATAACTATATTTATATATATTAACGAAAGTGTATTAATCATGTTTTTAAAGTGTTTTCTGATGTTTTTATGTTCTTCCTGGGTGTCAACCATACCTGCCAACATCTGTATCTGGTTAGGTTTGGGGGTGAGGTGTCTGAATAACACTGTTGACAATTAAGAACAGGGTACTGTGTAATTAGATGTTAGTAACTGTACAGTGAAGCGTGTCTCGGGCAGCCGCTGCCATCGGATCCGGATTGGGGATGGGAGGGGTGGGGGTGTATTATGGTTGAAATTACAGGAGTTTTCCGGAAGAAATAACAAAACGGGAGGTTGGCGGGAGATGGGTCTAAAATACGGGAGACTCCTGGGAAAAACGGGAGTGTTGGCAGGTATGGTGTCGACATAGAAATTTCATTCTGCATTACATCTACTGTGATGTTTAAAATGACAAAATAAAGCAAACTAAACTGAACTGAACATTCATCAGCATACCACAGGCCTGCAGTACAAATACAGTTAATATATGCGGTTGATTACACACAAAAGAAACACTAACAACATTGTTAGACATGTTGAGTTTTCTGCCTAAGTCCGGAGCTTATTCTCCTATGTTAATTGGCAGGGTACGAGGGAGTCTTCTGTCAGATCAATACCGATGAGTGCGCCAGCATGCCCTGCCTCAACAATGGGAAGTGCATCGACAAGATCAACAACTACCAATGCGAGTGCCCCACAGGTGAGCTTGCAGGGGTCAATCACCTCCCAGGACAGAACAGAGAGGAGAACACTAATCCCTGCCCCGAGGCAGGCTTACACAGCCCCAGATAAAATACTCACAATAATCCATATCAACGCTTGCAGACAGTTAGAATTCTGACTGTTTTTGCTTGAGTAAGATGATATGATTCATTCATTCCTTGCAAAAAAATTGTGTTGTATATGTGAAAAGCCACAAAAGTAATGGAGATTATAGATAATACAGATATATAAAATATAAAACGGTGAAACTTACTTCACAAATGCAGCATTTATAATAATGCACATTATGTACTAATGATTCTAAGTAGTGTAATATTGTGCTTTTTTTTTCTGGGGTCCACATATATTTTTGTTAAATAAATATTCTATTTAATAATTGCATATTTTAAAACAATTTTACATGTAAAACATTTTTTTACATTCACAGTATAATATATGTAACTTTTTTATCATAGCAAACTGTAGATAGTTGTTTAGTAGTTTTAGACTTTTGTAGTGTAGTGTTTGGTAGCATTTGTACTGTTTTCATAGTACAGTGTCATTGTTTAAATGTGAACGGCCACAAAAGTATTAATGCCAGATGTACAGTTGAAACCAGAAGTTTACATACGCTCTAAAAAACAACCCGGGCTCATTGTGGAAAGTAGCCCCGCGGACATTTCTGCGGATCGCGATTTACGTCCCGGGAGGTACGTATTCGAGCGGGTTTTTGTTTTCGCGGATCCGCGAGAGGCCGCTGTGCGCGCTTAATCGCGCCCGCGCCGTTCTCGCGCGAAAAGCCGCCGGATCGGAAAAAAAAAAAGAAAAAAGCCCTCGTCTTCGATTTCGACCGCGTTTTCGGATCCCGCCGCATTCTCGCCCTAATTTTTCGGATTCCGTTTTTGGTCTTACCTGATTTCCGGAACCCGCTGTTCCCCGGACTCGATCCTGGTCGTCGTCCACCGCGGCCGGCTCCTCCTCCTCCTCCGGGGCCTCCGCTCCGCCAATGCAACGCTGTGAGCTAAGCGGACAAACTGATTGGGTCGGAAAAGCCCTCCAGTCGGAGGCAAGCCGTCGGCCGGCGAGCGCGAAGAGGAGGGGCAAAGCGGCGCCACACCAGCCCGCAGTGTTCGCTCGAAAAAAACCAACACGGCCTTTTACGTACCTCCGGCCACGTAAATCGCGGTCTCCAGAAACGTCCGCGGGGCTACGTTTCCAGAATGAGCTTGGGTTGCTAAAAAAGGAACATAACCATTAAAAAAATGTCTGATGGTAAATCATACTAAACATTTACTATTTTAGGTTCGTTAGGGTTACCTAAATGATTTACATTTAATAAATGGCAGAATAATGAGAGAAAAAAATTGTTGATACTTTTTTATTAATTTCTAGACAGTTAAAAGTTTAAACACATTTCCTTGGTATTTTTTTAGCTTTGCTTTTAAACTGTACAACGTTGGTCAAATATTGTGGGTATCCTTCCACAATCTTCTCTCATTAGTTTGAAGGAATTTTGGCCCATTCCTCCCGACAGAATTGCTGTAACTGAGTCAGATTTGTTGGCTGTCTTGCTCACACAAGCCTTTTCAACTCTGCCCACAAATTTTCTATAGGATTGAGATCAGGGCTTTGTGATGGCCACTCCCAAACATTCACTCTGTTGACCTTAAAGCACATTGTAACTTATTTGGCAGTATGCTTAGGGTCATGGTCTGTTTGAAAGACCCATTTGTGGCCAAGTTTTAATTTCCTGGCTGATTTCTTGAGATGTTGCTTCAGTATTTCTCCATAATGTTCTTTCTTCATGATGGCATCACTGCTGTGAAGTGGATGTAAACTTCTGGTTTCAACTGTGTATAGTGTAACACACATAATTAAAAATCACATTTTGAAATTTGGTTCACAAATGCAGTGTTTCCAAATAATGTACTAATGTTTCTAAATAATCTGTTAATGCAGTTTTTTTCCTGGTAAGATTTTTTTTTTTGTTAAATAAAAATGATATTTTTAATTATTTATAAGAGCATATTTTAAAATAATGTTACATGTAAAAATAGTTTTTTTTTTCTTAATAGACCGAAGAATGAACTAAAGTTTTCAATGTCATTCACAGTTTATTCTATGTAACTTGTAACTCTAATTATACCAAACTGTAGGCACTTGTTTAGTATTTTTAGTCTTTGTTTGAATCTTTTTCAAATCTAAAAAACTAATTTATAAATGCATTATATATTATGTCTTTTGCCCATACTTTGATGCTTTGTCTAGTTTTAACTATGTGAAACTAATTTAATTAAATTAGTTAGTCGTTGAAAAGGCCCCTTCATGTAGGAAAACAGCGCATTTGGGATGCTGAGGAAATCATGCATACAGTAAATGAAAGAGGCTCTATCATCAGGGTGTGTATGGAGGAGAGGGGGACGGGCGGGAACTAAACCCCCAAGAGTGGTGTAGAGGAATTCGGGAGGCTGAAGAAGTGGAGGCCTGGCCCCTTCACCATCGTTTCAGATGGAAATCAGAGCTCCTTTTCAGCATGCGGCGCAGGGATCCTTTTCAGTAGTGTACACACCAAATCCCTAGCAACTACAATGGGTGCTCTTCGAAATGTGGCATTTTTAGACGCTCGAAGAAATTCTTGTTTTTTTCTGAAGACAGACCTTGATTACAGATGCCAGGGGGTCTCAATGGCAGAAGCTAGTTATGAATTCATTATCAGGATTATTATCAAACAAGTTCGGTAAGTTCAACCCCCCCCCCCCCCCCCCCAGAAACTCATTACATTTACTTTTGTAACTTCTGCCATTGAAAACCCCTGGCATCCGTAATCCAGGTCTGTCTACAGTAGGGTTGTAACAATATACCGGTATGACGGTCTACCACGATTTGAACGTGCACGATTATCATACCATGAACAATTGCATATCAACGGTTTTAACCCTTAAAGACCGAGACAGCCGCCCGCGGCTAAAAATAAGTATTGCTCTTAAATGTTTAATAACTTTTGATCCGCTGATCCGATTCATACAATTCAAAGATTGGCATAAAGAAGAGCATCTCAGCTTTCCAGTACTGTATCACATAACATTCGCGGACTTTCAGAGGCTCCGGAATCAGTGCGGTTACGTCATCAACATTTGACAACGCTGATTTGACAAAGAAACGCTCGTCACTGTGTCTCCGGACAAATCAGACATGATACATTGATGCATTATCCCTCCTCCATGCCCAGATTGGTTCAAACTCGCTATATCACGACCAATAAGCATAGGTTTCACTTTTGTTTGTGGACCAAGCTTTTTGAACAACACGGAATGAGAGAAAGGCATACATTTATGCGCGGCTAAATAAAACGCAAAAAAAAAGTTTTGCATGAAATAATTCTCATACTAAGTACTTTTGCATGCACAGCAGCACAGAAACATGACAAAACAGTGACACAGCAAAGACGAACTGCTGCTCTTGCTGTATTCAAAAGACGCAAATGAAGATGCAGCTGTTTGTCTGCATTGCAGACAACCATATCCATATCCATAGACAACCATATCCTTGCTGGCACATAAAACCTAGGGATGTTCCATATTGAATCTAGTTTTGTTATGTAACTATTTATAGTATAGTAAATATTTATATCTATTTTTTACTGAGGATTTGCACCATGTTTATTTGGACTTTATTTGGACTTTGACACATTATTTATTATTTTCTTATTTTTATTTGTTCATTGTAAGTGGTGTTGTTTATAGTAACTAAAAATATATTATTTGGAAAAAGTCAAATTTGCTTCACTGTTCTATTATTTTGTAACATACCGTATACCGCGAAACCGTCAAACCGTGGTATTGTTTTAGACGATTATCATACCGTGAAAAATTCATACCGTTACAACCCTAGTCTACAGAAAAAAATTGAATTTCTTTGAAAAAACAAAGCGCCATGTCTATGAAACAGAATATCATAAGACTATGGTTAACTATGTTTCCATCCAAATAAGCAAATTTAAAAAATGTGCAAAAGCTGCATTAATCTTTTTCTTACATAATAAATTATTTGCACCTCAGGAGACAAAATGCAATGATCACATGTTGAGATGCTCTTCGGGAGCAGAGATGCTCAAGACTTTTGGAGGTTATAACTATATAATAATAATAATAATAATAATAAAGCCTGGTTTATACTTCTGCGCGCCGTCTCTGTTGGTCTGCATTAACACTTCCGAAACGCTAGTTGGCAGTGAGGTGTAAATGTTGCTCTGTGTCGAGTTTCTTCACTGCTGTTTGCTTTTCCTAAACACTTCCGGGATGTACAAGTGGCTCAAACTCGCTCATTTTGAGGCAGGAACCAGCGGACGTGCAACAACTTTAACTATGAGGGAAACACAAAACAAAACTTTCCATCTGGAGCTCCTTCACGGGACTTGTAAACAATTGCTCCATTGGGCTAGCGCCGCTCGCGCGGCTCTTGGTCCCGCCCAGACTCGTCAGTGCTACCAAGCCGACCAATCACAGAGCTTGCGCTTTGCATTGCTGCGACATGTAGTTACATATTTTGAGAGGTGCACTTCAGCGACGGCCACGGCAAAGGGCTATGCGTCAACGACGTAGCATACGCCGGCGTTTGACGCAGAAGTATAAATCAGCCTTAATACTGAACCATCTGGTTTGCCCATTAAAGGTGCTGTTTGTAAGTTTTTAAATTTTTTTAAGCATAAAAATACTATAATATGTTTGCAGATATTTACGAAACATGCTAACATCCTTGTATATCTGGAAAAACAATGCTGAAGTCAGATATTCTGCTTTGAAAGTTTGTTTTCCGTGCCGGAAGGGTTGTCTGTTTTGGCCCCTTTAACCCGCTCAATTCCATTTTAGCCAATTATATTACAGTACCCCGGGTTGCTTTGTTGGAAAATCATGTATTACATTCATTAAGTCATGAAAGCTCCCAACGTATGCATCCGTGACCAAAATGCGACCTCCGGTCGACAGTAGCAGATTCTGAAATGGGTTGCTGATTCAGAGTTCCCCATGAGGTGTTTATTAATAAGCAAATAATATAAATATTACGAGCGTAAACATTAAATGAGCAGGTTAACCATTGTAACCTTGTGTCCTAACAACACACTACGTGATGAGATTTGCAGTGATAAGCAATTTGGCTGTAATTGACAGCAACATGACAGAAATTTAAACACAATACACAAACACTCACGCCAACAAAATGGTAAGGTTAATAATCTAATTAATACATATTAAACCTCTTTAACATTATTAAATGTACATGATGAATCACTGATCATTGTCAGTTTATCCTGTTGTTCAGCTGCAAGAAGTAGAATCTGTTTTTAAATATAAATTTCAGATGTTGGTTGTAAGAAAAACCCTAATATGGCAGGAATAAAATATTCCTGCTATCACGTGCCGTTGCTTTTATTTAGAACATTATTTAAATCAGCCTTTAGGCTCGATAGTCAGGCTCGCTCCTGTTGGTCGACAATCTGGAAACCTGCGCTTGCATGTGTTTTGAACCAGTTGTGCAATATCTAGTTTAACCACTGGGTGTTAAACTTACATACTGCACCTTTAATGCTATTTCATCACATGATCTCGTATAACAAAATGACATAAAGGTTTATCCTATTTGTCATTTTTTAATGTGTTTTTTTGTTCATCTTGACGTTTTCATCCATGGGTTTTTATGCGATATTACAAAATTTTCATGAAAATAGATGGATGGAAGCATAGCTACAGTGCTCAGCATATCTAGGTTCACCTCTCACAAATGTCTCTTTTAAATTCATATTTTTAATAGGAAGCTATACAATATTTTATTTGTGCATATACATTACCGGGGCCAAATCTGGAGCTATCTAACAAAATAACTTGCAATAACGGTCCAAAAACTAGCACAGCCAAATGTATATGTTGTAGAAAAATATTAAATACAAATTTAAAATTGAGAAAAGTCAAAAGAAGCAAAAAAAATAAAATAAATAAAAAATTTGTGGAAATTTTGTAGGTTGTAATTTATTTTTGCAAAATTTTGCTTGAATTTAATTGTACTATCTTTCAATTTTTAAATATGTTTGGTGACTAAAATATTATTTTAATAAATATATCTGTGCTCAATTATGCTGAGCACTGTACACACTGAAAAAAAAATATTGTTGCTAACAATTTATATGGGCTGAATTTAAACAAACAAACTAAATAAATGTAGTAGTGTTCAATTTGATTTCTTTGTTCAAATTCAGCCCGAATATTTTTGTGCAACCACTTACCTTAAAAAAATGTAGTAAACCCAATGATTCTTTCTTTTTCAGTGTAGGCACCCTAAAAACATATCATCAACCTCTCAGATCGAAATTGACTCACAAAAAGTGTGATAAATGTCCCATAAGTCTATACCCTGATGGATTTGTAGCCGTTAATGTGTTCAGACTGTATATTTGAGCAGCAGACGTCTTTAGTGAGGGATTAAAATAACTGGGGGAGAAAGCACAAATGCTGGGGGTCCCTGAGCGACGGGGAGCTGCTGAATAGCATGGGGTCAGGGGTTGCGCGGGGCTCTTTTTGGTGGGACAGGCTCGAAGAGGGGGGCGAAGGCTGGATGGAAGAATGCACATTGTGATGGAAAACTTCCACGGGACAAAGGAGGCAACCGGCATGGCTTGGCGTTCCTATGAATAGACAGTTCCTCTTTGTCTGGTGCCCTTGGTCAGGAGGGTTTTTTACCGCCATTTTACCCCCTCTTCTCCCACTCTCAGAAAAAAATAAGCTTGAAAACCTGAGAGAAAAAGCATGCAGCTGGGTATTAATGAATGCTGCTGTATAGAGGAGTGTGGAGGAATGAAGCTGGAGGAATTATTGTAATGACCTTCTTTTTTTGTAGGATTTTCGGGGAGCCAATGCCAGTTCGACATTGACGAGTGCGCTAGTACTCCTTGTAAAAATGGGGCCAAGTGTATGGATGGGCCCAATATGTACACCTGCCAGTGCACTGAAGGTATGAAGATGCCATCAGCTTCTAATTAGTACTAAAAAGTATTAAAGAAATGGAAAAATTATTTTTTTGGCTATTTGGGGGGGGGGTATACATATTTTCAAATATTTCACAAATTATGTTTAACAGAGGAACACATTTTTCACAGTATTTCCTATAATATTTTTTCTTCTGGAGAAAGTCTGATTTGTTTTATTTCGGCTAGAATAAAAGCAGTTTTTAATTTTTATTTCAATATTTAATTCTCTTTGAATATCACACTAACTAACTGTACAAAAAAAAAAAAAAAAAAAAAAAACTACTAACACTTTCCTTCTTAGACTTTACAGACCTGAAACTTGCCTTTAGTACTTATTCATTGTTGCTCTTATAGTTGTGTAAATTGCTTCCTTGTCCTCATTTGTAAGTCGCTTTGGATAAAAGCGTCTGCTAAATAACTAAATGTAAATGTAAATTCAATATTAGTGGCTTTATTAAGTAATATTTTTAATTGTCTGCAGAACCATCATTATACAATGACATTGCCTAATTACCCTAACTTGCCTAATTAAACTAATTAAGCCTATTAATTGCACAGCTGGTCTGTTTATAAGCTGACATACAAGCGATCCACTGATGAATTAACTGATCTTCCTGGCTTTAAAATGCTCCAATGTCCCTGTATCTGTGGATACACTCTGTAAACAGCGGTGAGTTTGGTGAACTGATGACCTTCACAGCCAATCACAGTCATTTCTGTTGAGCATGTGAACACAATGGCAAATCAGCACTGTTTAAGAAAGAACTCAACATTGCTGAAAATGATAATATAATATAATATAATATAATAATAGACGTTTTTAAAAAATTTCCGATTGAAGTACCGATTGGTATCGAATTTCAGTATCATGACAACAGTTTGAGGTTAGTTTTAGGTATTGGGGATTGATGTATTGTAAAACCTTGTAAAAAATGTTATGCAAATATAAATAATGAGTCTGTTTTGCTTTCAGGATACACAGGGCAGCACTGTGAGACAGATGTAGATGAGTGTCTGTCCAACCCGTGTCACTACGGCACCTGTAAAGATGGCCTGGCGTCCTTCACCTGCGTCTGCCGTGCGGGTTTCATGGGCCGTCTGTGCGAGATCAACATTAATGAGTGTCTCAGTCAGCCATGCCAAAACGGAGGCACCTGCCAGGACCGTGAGAATGCCTACTTGTGTGTCTGCCCCAAAGGAACTGCAGGTGCCACTTTTACTGTAATGGGGCAAATTATAAGTGTGTTTCAAGTCTTGATTTGAATGTGCCTACCGTTGGAGCACGTCTGATCATTTCTGGAAGCTGCTGGAAGCATTGTGTATTAAATGTGCTGAGTGGCATGGTGGCTCAGTGGTTAGCACTGTCGCCTCAGCAAGAAGGTCGCTGGTTTGAGTACTGAAAGTTGGCACATGTGTGGAGTTTGCATGTTCTCACCCTGTTCGAGTGGGTTTCATTCGGGTGCTCCGGTTTCCTCCACAGTCCAAAGACATGCGCTATAGGTGAATTGAATAAACTAAATTGGTCATAGTGTGAATGTGAGAGTAGATGGGTGTTTCCCAGTACTGGGTTGCGGCTGGAAGGGCATCTGCTGTGTAAAACATATGCAGGAATAGTTGGCGGTTCATTCCGCTGTGGCAGTCTTTGAAATAGAGACTAAGCCGAAGGAAATTGAATGAATGAATGAAATGTGCTATGTAAATAAACTTACCTTGCCTTGTGTCAACAGGAGCTAACTGTGAGATCAACCTGGATGACTGTCAGAGCAATCCCTGTGATTTCGGGAGATGCATCGACAAGATAAATGGGTACGAGTGTGCCTGCGAACCGGGATACACAGGTGAGTGACATTGCATCATGTGATGTTATATCTGAATTGACAGAGGAGGGAAATTGTAATCATTATTTATTGTAGGAGTAGGTGGGACACTCAGAAATAAAGGTATAAAATCTGTCACTGTGATGGCACCTTTTCTAAAGGTACACTTTTGTACTGTACAGGTCGACAGTAGTACCTTTAGGGTACACTTTTGTACCTTTAAGATTCACTTTATGAAGTTTATTTATGAACTTATTTCGAGAGGATCGAGTGCTTATGATTGCTCACAGCTGGTCCCACATCAGCTCACGATTCATTCGCCAATCAGATGTCTTCTAACTCACTATAAGTAACCAGAGTTTTCTTATAGCAGTCTCTTCGTCTTTAAGAATCACCCCCCCCCCCTCCACCCCTACTCCCCCATCTTTTCAGATGGGCGACACGGCGGCCCAGTGATTAGCACTGTTGCCTTACAGCGAGAATGTCTCCAGTTAAAATCCCTACACTGTACAAAATGCAGTTCCACACAATTCATTCATGCTGTCCCAACACAAATTGATTAAGTTAACTTAACAATTTTTACAAATTTATGTGGATTGAACATAAAAAGTTAGGTTGTCCCAATGAAATTTCAAGAATTAAGTAAATTGAACATACCAAATCAATACCATAGCCAAGCTCTAAACAAGTGTACATCTCTTCTTAGCCATTCTATTAGCCAAAAATAAGTCGGGGGAGTTCATCGAAAAAATTGAATAAATAAATGAATTAATTATATTAGTGCATACTAATATACTCTGAACTGTAGTTGCTGGTTAATAACAATCCCAATTTGACATTTTAGCTTGTGCTATGTGACTGTTGCGGATTTGCATATTGCGATATTGATGCTGAAACGATGTGAAGTTTATTTATAATTATTTATCACGTGCTTATGATTGCTTGCGGCCAGTCCTGCATTATTCAATTTATGATTCACCAACCAAACGATTCCTAAGCCACTATAAATACTTTAAGTTCCATATGACAGCCATCTTCATTTTGGAGAATCCCGCCCTTCCACCCCTACTCCTCCACCTTTCCTAGATGGGTGACACAGTGGCCCAGTGGTTAGCACTGTTGCCTCACAACAAGAACGTCACTGGTTCTAGTCCTTACCAAGCCAGCCGACGTTTCTGTGTGGAGTTTACACGTTCTCCCCGTGCTCACGTTGGTTCACCCCGGGTTCTCCAGTTTCCTTTCATCGTCCAATAATATGCGACTTCGGTTAATTGACTAATCCAAATCGGCACCATAGACATGCTCCTAGTAAATAGTTATCCTTTAAGAGCAATCACTATCTGTTCATTAGCTACTACAGCAGGTGAGTTCTCGAGATCTACCTGAGCTCAAACTCCCCTCTCGCCTTGCAAATGGGAGGGAGCCCCGGGCTTGAGGATCTTATGAGCTCAGGGCTCTCTCCTGAGAAAAACAAGCTTCATAATCAATCATCAGCTAAGTGTGAACTCTTGCAATATTGTGCAGCAATATATATATTGTTTGGGTTGGTGTTGTATATCACACTCAAAAAACTGTATATTTTCTGTTTTTTAACTGTCTTATTTCACTATATATTATTTATTATATATTATATTTTTCAAACTACTAAAATGTCAGTAAATGTCACTTTGTTAAACTGCAGAGTTGAATTTTCAGCAATAAAAGTTGGCAGAGCAGTGATCAACATCCCATAATGCAATTCACAACCATAAATAAATCCAAAATACGCAAAACAAAATACGGAAACTGTTAATTAACAGATTTTTTTTTTACTATGTAGATCCTTTAGAAATCAATAGGAATACCGGAATTCATCCTATTTTCGTCTAAATTGATTTATCCTTAACATCTGGGATTTGAGACTAAAAATTAAACATCAAAATCTTCAGAAAAGCCATTGTGGAAGTCAAGTCTAGGTGGTACGGTAAGCCCAGGTCTTTACCACTGCAGATGAGATGGCGAGTCAACAAAGAGTTCAACAGGTGAGACGGGCCACAAAAGCAGTGTGGGGAGAGACAGCTGGCCAGCGAGCACACACTCCGGTCTGGGCCGCGGTGTTGGCTTACAGTCTCACCCAATCCCCGCCTGCTGTGCGGCCCGCTCCCCCATTCAGACCCAGATCTCCAGGACATCTGGGAGTTTGAAAGGAGAAAAGATTTGCCAAAGATTTGTGAAAGTCGATCTTTTAAAAGGGGGAATTTGGCCGGTACTTTAAAGACAAGTGACAAACGAAACCTCTACCTTTATGCTGGGCATTGCGTTGGGTGAATAGTGCTGCTGGAATAGTAAGCTGGGCCTTAAAGGGATAGTTCACCCAAAAACTACAAATCTGTCATCATTAACTTTAATACTACCTTTATTTCTTTCAAACCTTTATGGGTTTCTTTCTTCTGTTGAACACAAAAGAAGTTATTTTGAGGAAAGCTGAAAACCTGTAACCATTGACTTCTTGTTTTACCTACTATGGCAGTGTTTCTCAACCACGTTCCTGGAGGACCACGACACTGCATGTTTTTGGATGTCATACCCATTACAGGTCTTTCAGTGTCTGCTAATGAGCTGATGGTCTGAATCCGTTTGGTTAAGGATACATGGAAATGTGCAGAGCTGGTGGTCCTGCAGGAACGTGGTTGAGAAACACTGTACTATGGGAGTCAAAACCTACGTTTTTTTCAGCTTTCTTCAGGATATCTTCTTTTGTGTTCAACAGAATAAAATACACACAATGGTTTAGAACCACTTAAGTGTCAGTAAATAATAGATAAATTGTGTTTTTGTGTGAACTATTCCTTTTAGGCCTAAAATTTTAAATGAGGAGCCGGCAAATTAATCCAATCGATACTGAAGGTATTTTGAATAACTTTGAGTAACACTATGCAAAGTTTTCATGGTCTGATCTTATTTTGTAGGGAAAATGTGCAACATCAATATCGATGAATGTGCCATCAACCCCTGCCACAATGGCGGAACCTGTGTGGATGGAGTCAATGGCTTCACTTGTCTGTGCAGAGAGGGCTATCATGACACCACCTGCCAATCACAGCTCAACGAATGCCTCAGCAACCCCTGTATCCATGGACACTGTGAAGACAAAGTCAATGGGTGTGTATTACTTGTTCTCCACTGTTTAAAAGTTTGAGGTCAGTGCAAAATGTGTACAGTCAAGATTGAAATTACCCAGGGGTATGATTAACTTTGGGCTTGACAAAACCGTCTAAATCCATCAGACTTCCTTTCTTGTAAATTAACATTTTCTCATCTGTTCAGGTTAAGCAGTTTAATTTTATAAATAATGATAAGGTTATTAGCCTGTAAGTAAAAAGCTTTTTTTTCATAAATGTCACTTAATAAAGGTCCACAATGATACCTTTAAGGATACATAACAATATTAGTAGCTAAAAAGTACAAAAGTGTTCCTCTTAAACTTTTTAGGTAATAATATATACTTTCGAAGTACTAATGTGGAGCCTTTAAGTACAAATGTGCACCTTTTGAGAAGGCACCACCCCAGTGACAGCTCGCATAACTTTATTTCTGAGATTGTACAATGACAAAAAAAGCAGTGCTCGATGCAAGAAAACTCAAGCCAAGCACAACACACAAGACATGGCCGAACTAGTGTCTGGATTCTGCCACCAAAACAATAATTAACAAGACCAGAGTGGCAGAATTCTGACAGAGAGTTGCTTACAAACAACATTTCAGTAACAATAGCTATGTTTCCATCCAAAAAAGCGAATAAACTTTATGCGCAAAACTGGGTTATAAAAGTTGTGCGAATGAAGCATCGTTTCCATCCAACGAGTCAAAGCGAAAAAAATCGTCACTTCCTGATTAAATGGCGCCAAATATGAACAGTAAAAACTGCATTTGCTGCAGTAGGAGAAGCTACGTCATTCTTTTCTAAATGAATGCGCCTCAGAAGACAATCCTGACAAGCAGTGAGCGCGCAGTGGCGTATGAAGGTGTCAGACGCACAGGCGCTCTTGATTCTGGAGGTCATTAATAATATAATAACATTAATACTGAAACAGTAAGGTGTTTTATAATGACCAAGACAACATTTCAGATGTTTTATAAGTGCTCAGCCTGACGTTTTATCCATTCACATACCTTTTAAGCATCACATGTTCTCTTTTAACAAAATCACATGACCTTTTTTAATGCGCATGTTGGAGTTTGTGCTGTAAAAGTGTTTCCATCGCAGTTTATGCGCATCTTTTCTTATCGAATAAAAAGTTTATCCTACCCAGTTAGGCGCATAAGTTCTTTATGCGCATTTTCAAAATGTATGCGCATCATGGCGTTTCCATCAACTGTTTTTTTTGCGCATTTGCAAAAAAAAAAACATAGCTAATGATAGTCTATATACTTCAGAGATGAGCAAAACACTCAAACACTGTGGCATTTTTTTTATTTTCTTCATGAGTAAAGCCTGTGTCAGAGCTGCAGATTGGGCTTGTCTGTGTTGGTTCCTGAGAGAGCGCAAAGATGGTTTCTTATCAACAACTGACACCATGGAATGAGAAATTGGTGATGAAAGTGGAGCCCCTCACAGCTTTAGACAGAATCTGCGAATAGCCCCTAAGACATCTTTTAAAACCTACCCCAGACCTTTTAATGGTAGTCAATACATAATATATATTCTGGTAATATTTTCTGATCTATTAAACCAGTGGTCACCAAACTTGTTCCTGGAGGGCCGGTGTTCTGCAGATTTTAGCTCCAGACTTAATCAAACACACCTGAATCAAGGTCTTACAAGGTATACTTGAAACATCCAGGCAGGTGTGTTGAAGCAAGTTGGAGCTAAACCCTGCATGGACACCGGCCCTCCAGGACCGAGATTGGTGACCCCTGTATTAAACAAACATGAAAGGATTGTGCAAATGATGTTTGTTTTAAAGGGATAGTTAAAGTGGTTTAAAACTTAAACATAAAAGAAGATATGTTGAAGAATGTTTGTAACTGGTAGCCACTGACTTTTGTAATTGAAAAGAAAAAACTATGAAACATTATATTTGGGTGAACTTTCCCTTCAATAAACCTACAAAAAACTAACAAATCTCTAACGGAAAACCTGGCACCAATGTCAGTTAAAATTAAATTAAATTTAATTAAATTTAATTAAATTTAATTTAATTTAATTATTTTATTTATTTTATTTAATATTTTAATTTATTTATTAATTTATTAATTAATTTATTAATGTATTTATTTTCTATTTATTTTAATAATTTATTAATTAAATTGTTAATTAATGATTTGATTGATTGATTGATTGATTGATTGATTGATTGATTGATTGATTGATTGATTGATTGATTGATTGATTGATTTATTTATTTATTTATTTATTTATTTATTTATTTATTTATGTTTATTTTAGTTTGTTTATTCTGCCTATATTTAATTAAAATCTGCCAAAAATCATGTAAAGCCACTGTAAGCACAAAAAGATTATGAATGAAACTCTTTAGGCTAGATATATAATATAAAATATGTCGTTTCCTCACAGATATAACTGTATTTGCGACTCTGGCTGGAGTGGAGTCAACTGTGACATTAACAACAACGAGTGCGAGTCCAACCCCTGTATGAATGGAGGCACTTGTAAGGACATGACCAGTGGCTACGTCTGCACATGTCGCGCCGGCTTCAGCGGTTAGTATGGGTCATTCTGCTAATGCACTGTTACATGCTCTTTGACCACCACTTGACCTCACCACGTCTTTCTGATGTTTCATTATAGGTCCCAATTGCCAAACGAATATCAACGAATGTGCCTCCAACCCATGCTTGAATCAAGGAACCTGCATTGATGATGTGGCCGGATACAAATGCAACTGTCTGCTTCCTTACACTGGTAAGAGATTTGACACTGCGCTATTGAGAATTTGAGAGGTGATTTAAAGCTTATTAGTTATAAATAAATCAAATATGAAATAAAATATAACAAAATAGGTTTAATATTTGTATTAGTTTAAGTTTATTTATGTAAAAAGCACATTTAAAGTGCCTGACCAAAGTGGTGTACATAAGACAGAATAATATTTAGTAGATAAATATAGAAAAAAAGATTAATATTTAGAAATAAAACAATAGACTAATGGGTATTTGTTTATCTGTATGCCATGCTACTGTAATGTGAATGCGGGCACTGACAACGGAGTTGAGAAGCCATGTGCAGTATTTATTGAACAAAGAATGGTCAGTCAAGCAATAGACGATCACAAGCAAACAGATACAAAGTCGTGGTCAAAGAACAGGGGAATAGTCTCTACAGGCAGCAATAAATCAAAACAAACAGACAAAGCAAAGGGTCAAAACACGACTAGGCTAAATATTAAAAAGAGCATCGTAATGCTCACAGACAAACAACAAGACTCAGCAATGTCTGTGTGTGTGTGTGTGTGTGTGCTGTATAAATAGTTTATGTAATGAGTGCTTAAGCAGCTTCAGCTGTGCGAGTTTGTAATCAGTCTGGATCAGGAACCGGTGTGTGTGCTGCATGCTTAAAGTTGTAGTCCATGTAATGGCGGATTTGTAGTCTGTTAGCGATCTGCAGCCCCTAGATCACTGATAATCGTAAGTTACCCCTAAAAATTTGTTGTCAAAATATTAAAATAATAATATATTTATTTATTTGTAATTTTTTTTGTTGCTATATTATTTTTTAATACTGACTAATTCTTGAAATATAATGTCGCCTAAAGCTTCCATTGACATTTTGATAGTTCAGACAGGTTTGAAACAGGAAGTTATGATTTTTTTTATTGTTTAATATTCAATTCAACTCGGAAACTCTTTACAATAAGGTTCCATTAGTTAATGTTAGTCATTGTATTAATTAAAATGAGCAAACAATGAACAAAACATTACAGTATTGATTCGTCTTTGCTAACTGTTAACATTAACAAGCACAGCGATGGAATTTTAATAATGTATTAGTAAATATTAAACTATCATTATTGAAGGCCGTCCAAGTATTGTTCATTTTTAGTTCATTCATTTCGGCTTAGTCCCTTTATTAATCTGAGGTTGCCACAGCGGAATGAACCGGCTACTTATATAGCATATGTTTTACGCAGCGCATGCCCTTCCAGCTGCAACCCATCACTGGGAAACAGCCATATAGTCTCATTCACACTCATACACCATAGACAATTTAGCTTACCTAATTCACCTATAGCGCATGTGTTTGGACTGTTGAGGAAACCCGAGCACCCGGAGGCAACCCATGCAAACACAGGGAAAACTCCACACAGAAACGCCAACTGACCCAACCAGGACTCGAACCAATGACCTTCTTGCTGTGAAGCGACTGTGCTCCCCACTGCGTCACGGTGCTACCCATTCACTCTTAGTTCATGTTAGTAAATACATTAACTGATGGAGCATTATTATAAAGCATTTTTCTCAATCTTTGACTAGACTGTTGCTTTTTAATTTACAATTTCTAGGTCAGAGAGTCAAGAGACTTCCCTCCATCAATCTCGTCCCTGTTTGTTGACAATGGCTCCTCAATGAGCCCTTCAAGTATCTCTGTTGACAATACAGGAAAGCGTGTTTTCATCAGACGACACATTCTTTCCTCTCACTCTGTTATTTGGCCAAACAGATAATGATGTTCGGCCTCTGGAACAGAAATCATATTAATTCCCAGCCACTTTCTGTTTGGAAAAATCCACACGGCGTCATATCAAGAATAACAAAAATCTGATCGCACCAGGGTGGGAACGTTAGCCTGTCATGTTTCCTGTTTGCCCTGCTTCCTCTCTCACAGAAACGCAAATGGCCAGACAATGGCAGGAAAACCTGCTGGCTTCCTCTAGTCGTGGAAACAGATAGGCCAAATGTGCTTTGCTTTGCTAGGCTAATCTCCAACAGAGAAAAGACGATTCAGTACAGATCGTGCGCTGAAACACGGTGTCACTTTCTAAATTTAAGCCTTCTTAGAGGAGGAACGTCTTCTGCAAACATCTTTATGAGCTGAAAAAAAGATCTTTCATGCTGTATTTTGATTTTGTATCTTCCAGGCGAGAACTGTGAGACCCTGTTGGCCCCGTGCGGCTCTAAACCCTGTAAGAACGGAGGCGTTTGCAAGGAATCGGAAGACTACGAGAGCTTCTCTTGTGTGTGTCCTGCGGGATGGCAAGGTACAAGATCCACACACATACAAGCAGGATGTATTGTGCTAGCCTCAGTATTGTGTATAAGGTCTTGGCTCACTCGAAGTGCCCCCTGGTGGACTGGAGCCGAGACTTACTTAATACGTGAAGATACACAGAGAATTCATCAGTGTTAATTTTTGGGTGTTAAAGCATTTCAGAATAAAGTGTTGAAATTACAGAGTAAGATTTTGATAAATGAACACAATCAGAGTTCAAAGCTGATTTGATCCAGAGTAAAATCAAGGAGTTACAGGTAACCAACACTTGATGGTGTTATATCCAACATTTGCTAGACAAAAAAATCTTATTGAAACATTAAAGTCATGCCATTTTTTTTAAATCCTTCAGTCTTAAAAAAAGTGTCAATTTGTAAAAAGTGTCAATTTTAGTGCTGCTGTCCAGTGTTAACATGTTTTTGTTGATAGAAATGACTAATAAAATAATTATGATTTATTTTTATTGCCATTCTTGGAGAACTGTCCTATTTTGAAGCTATTTTAACTATCAATTAGGAGTATTGTAATGTTTACTATGTAGACTAGAGTTAAATTCTCTCTGTCAAAGTGTTGAGTCAGGGAAAAGTCAACTCCCAGTAGTGTAGATCAGAGTTATTTTTCAGCTCAATACAGTGTAAATTTAACTCACTTATAGTGTAATTTAGCTAGAGTTTAATTCTTTCTGTTAAAGTGTTGAATTTTCACTTTTTATACTAGAGTCAGGGAAAAGTCTACTCCCAGTAGTGTAGACCTGTAACGTCGGGGAGTAACACCACAACAGAAGGTAGGATCCAATATGCAGGTTTATTCAGTCAGGCAAGCAGTGGTCAATACGGGAGCAAACAGGTATGAGAGGACAATCTAGAATCGTAGTCAGTTTAACAATCAAGAGGTCGAAAGGCAGGCGGCAGACAAGAATAACTAAATAAACAAGACTAGGTTCAAAACACAGGAAAACAAGACAAGGAAAACGCGTTGTAATGCTACTTTACAGTGAACAAGACTCGGCAACCTGAATGAGTGTGTGTGCTGCTTAAATACTGTGTGTAATCAGTCTTGAAGCAGGATCAGCTGTGGGATTCTAATTAGTGGAGACTTGGAGCAGGTGTGTGTGTGGCATGATTGAATATGTAGTTTATCAGCAGATTTGTAGTCCTAAGTGTGTGTGTGTGTGTGTGTGTGTGTGTGTGTGGGTGTGTGTGTGTTTACCAGCAACATCTGGTGGTTGTTCACTGGTGAACATGACAAGACCAGAAATATTTTTTAACTCGATACAGTGTTAACCCATTTATAGTGTAATTTAACTAGAGTTAAAATCTCTCTGTTAAACTGTTGAATTTTCACCTTTTACACTAGAGTCAGGGAAAGTCAACTTCCAGTAGTGTAGACCAGAGTTATTTTTCAGCTTGATACAGTGTAAATTTAACTCATTTATAGTACATTTTAACTAGTCAAATTATCTTTGTTTAAGTGTTGAATTTTCATTTTGTTTTAAACTAGAGTCAGGGAAAAGTCAACTCCCAGTAGTGTAGATCAGAGTTATTTTTCAGCTCGATACAGTGTAAATTTAACTCATTTATTGTGTAATTTAGCTAGAGTTAAATTCTCTGTTAAAGTGTTGAATTTTCACTTTTTACACTAGAGTCAGGGAACAGTCTACTCCCAGTAGTGTATAAGTAGTGTTGACCAGAGTTATTTTTTGACTCGATACAGTTTAAATTTAACTCATTAATTGTGTACAATTAACTCTCCCATGAGTGTTATAGTGTAATTTACCTAGAGTTAAATTCTCTCTGTTAAAGTGTTACATTTTTACACTAGAGTCAGAGAACAGTCAACTCCCAGTAGTGTAGATCAGAGTTAAATTTCACCTCGATACAGTGTAAATTTAACTCATTTATAGTGTAATTTAACTAGAGTTAAATTCTCTTTGTTAAAGTGTTGAATTTTCACTTTTTTACACTAGAGTCAGGGAATAGTCGACTCCTAGTGAAGACCAGAGTTATTTTTAACTCGATACAGTGTAAATTTTACTCATTTATTGTGTACATGTAACTCTCCCAAGAGTGTTAATTTAAATCTGAAAATATTGGGACAATGTTTACTCATTTGGAGCTGGTTTTAACCTTGATAGAGTTCAAATAACACTGCTATTCTGTGCAGTGTATACAAGCCTTGAGTGATACCAAGTACATTAATGTGATAAAGAGCACTACTGTGGAATAATACCTTGCAATTAAATTAGCCAATTGGAAAAAGGTAAAAGCTCTGGTTGCCAGTTAGTGTCATACAACACACACTTTTAATTATGCTGAAGCTTTTGTGTTTTTAGCACATTATTGTTGTGTGAGTTTTAGAAAGTCATACAAATGTTTCCATTTAAAACATATGTCTTAATTTAATAAAATAAAAAAAATATGCACATTATGTTAAATATTTTTGTTGGGTAATAAATGTGCCATATATGGACTATAAAGTATCAAAACAAAAATGACAACAAATTTTACATTTATTTTTTAAATGGCATTATTTATGTTTTTAGATTTTAATGTTACAACATCATTGTATCAACATCAAACCTGCAGATATTTAAAAAAGCAAAAAAGTCTATACTCATACTTCTTTTCCGTACTTGTAGGCCAAACATGTGAGGTGGACATCAACGAGTGTGTTAAAAATCCTTGCCGAAATGACGCCATCTGCCAAAACTCCATTGGCAGCTACAAGTGCAGTTGCAAAGCGGGCTACACGGGTCGCAACTGTGAGACAGACATCGATGACTGCAAGCCCAGTGAGTGTCCCATTACACCCATATGTCCATCTAGTTGATCTTGTCCCGATGTTTAACAGCATCCTTTTTTTCCTCCAGACCCCTGCAGTAACGGTGGCTTCTGCAAAGACGCAGTGAACGCCTTCGCTTGCACCTGCCTGCCGGGTTTCAGGGGCGGCAGATGCGAGGAGGACATTAACGAATGTGAGAGTAACCCGTGTAAAAACGGCGCCAACTGCACTGATTGTGTGAACAGCTACACCTGCACCTGTCCACCTGGATTCAGTGGGATTCACTGCGAGAACAACACACCTGACTGTACTGAGAGGTAACCAAAGGCCTCTTATTTCTGGCATTTGTATTATTATTATTATTATTATAACCTTTATTTTACCAGAAAAGCCTGTGTTTCAACTTCAAAATCATTTATGTGAAGTTTATTTATGAACTAATTTCGAGAAGAGTGCGCGCTTATGATTGATAGCACCTGGTCCACATTAGCTAACACTGATTTACCAATCAGACGACTCCTTAACCACTATAAATAACCAGAGTATCTTACTTCAGCCATCTTCATCTTGAAGAATCCCCCCGCAACCCCAACTCCTCCGATTTCCTTGTCAGGGCAGCACGGAGGCCTAGTGGTTAGCACCACGACCGCACAGCAAGAATGTCACCGGCTCGGACACTACCAGGCCAGGTCGGCGTTTCTGTGCGGAGTTTGCATGTTCTCCTCGTGCTTGCGTGGGTTTTCACCGGGCTCTCCGGTTTCCTCCCACAAACCAAAAACATGTAACATAAGTAAATTGACAAATCTAAATTGACTGCATAGACACTTCATAGCATTATAATCTACTTCCAACAATTATCAAGCAGGGGAGTTCTCGAGACCTACCTGAACTCGGACTACCCTCTCGCCCCGCAATGAGGGGGAGCCCTGGGCTCGAGGATCTCACAAGTTCAGGTTCCTCTCCCGGGACTGCATGCCAAACACACTCCATAATCAATCATCAGCGAAGGGCGAACTCTTGAAACTCTTTTTAAAGTCTTATAGTGAAAGCAACTCTTTAAAATGAAACTTTGTTTATAGATTCTTCCATGCAAGTCCAAATTCCCCCACAAGTCCCCCAAAAATATGTGGTATAGGTGAACTAGGTAGGCTAAATTGACCGTAGTGTATGTGTGTGAATGAGTGTGTATGGATGTTTCCATGTGATGGGTTGCAGCTGAAAGGGCATCCGCTGTGTAAAACATATGCTGGATAAGTCGGCGGTTCATTCCACTGTGGCAACCCCAGATTAATAAAGGGACCAAGCCAAAAAGAAAATGCATGAATGATTGGATGAATGAATGCAATGCTAAGCAGCATTGGTGTTTATCACTGTATAGAATACTATAAAATAATATTTTCTCCCTGATTCTGTGATATGAATCCACATCTGGTGACAAATAGAAGTTATTTTAAACACTCAAATGATGCTATAAAGTGAATTTGGAGTAAAAGCAGGGTTTTTGAGAGGACGTCAAAATGTAATGTATGGTGGGGGTCTGCTCTTTAATACTGAGAAGTAGTGTATTTTAAATAAAAATGTTAATTATTAAAATATTATACATTTGACCACCCCATAACAGTTCACCATTATGAATGCATAATCACTCCAATCAGTCTATGCAGGAAAATATTCATTTAACAGTCTGTAACCATCAGATTCAAAGCACCGACAGACATCGTAACGCTCGATTCACACGGGGCTTCAGCGTCAACACTTGACAGAGGGCGTGTCTGAAGTTGGGGCTGACGCGATCATCATAGCAGCGTCAGCCAATGAAATTAGTCACCAATCGGCTACTGTCTGAGTTGGTGTATTTGCATACAGCGATCTAATTGGCTGATGCTTCCGTCGGCGCTTAAACAGTTGAGAAAGTCCCAACTTCTGTAGTAAGCAACGCCACTGAAGCGGTGCCAACGGATCCATAATGCAGTTCGGCAACGCCTGACGCCACCCATTTAAAGTGAATGGAAAGCATTGATGCTGACGCCCCGTTTCTTTGTTTCTACTTATAGCCTAAAAGTAAAGTCAAATTAAACACATAGTTTGTGTAGTCTGACCTATAGTAACCTTTAAAATAGCCAGTCAGCAGGTCAGAATACACTAAATAGCCCACAAAACACTAAAAACTTCAGTTTCATTAATAAATTAGACGTTATTTAAAATAAATAACATAAATTGATTAATTAAAGCATGTATAAAACAAACTAACATTAATGGAAATATTGTCCCCCTCGCTAATCGTCAATGTATAAATCGCACTCTGAGTATGTCTGTAAATAACAAAAAAGTAGCAGTCTCTAATAGTTAATAAATCAGTTTGTATTATCACAGGAAGACAAGATCTTATCATACAGAGAATTTTTACCAGTAAGTTGAGGATGTTAAAACATCGCCCATCCTTAGTGTAAATATTGATCTTTTCCAACAAGCTAGTGTTTAGTCTATAACAGACAGTCGTTACTACTAAGAGACAAGAAGGCAAATCTACTGTATCTCAACTCTCTTAAAAACACTTTATCAACAAAGTCGTAAGAGATACGCACCAAACAATGCTTCAAACCCTACATGTCTTTTCTGCACAGCACTACAGCTATCATTGTTAGCCTTATTGTTAAACTCGAGCCTTGCCAGTTCACTGATCTGCCTCATGATAGTGTTTAAAAAAAAACCTCAAAAGTTTTTCTTCTGTTGTCTGTTAGCGCCCCCTCTGGTGAAAAGATGACAACGCAGTCTGAGCAGCATTGATGATCATTATATGAAGTAAATCTGTTTTTTTTTTGTTTTTGTTCTTCTTCTTTTTTGAAACAGCTCTTGTTTTAATGGTGGCACATGTGTGGATGGCATCAACAGCTTCACTTGCCTGTGCCCTAAAGGCTTCACTGGCAACTACTGCCAGCATGACATCAACGAGTGCGACTCCAGACCGTGCATGAATGGAGGCACCTGCCAGGACAGCTATGGCACCTACAAGTGCACCTGCCCTCAGGGATACCACGGTCTTAACTGTCAGGTAATAAATCACTGGTATAGATACAGGGTTGTTTGGGAACAAAACGTTTTCATGCATCCACATTTATTTACAGTGTTTTGTCGTGTTGAAAAGGTTCTGTTTGTGGTCAAATTATTATTTTACTTCTTTAAATTAAAACACTATTTATTAACATTAATAATTGCATTACTTAACATAAACTAACTCATTCAAATACTTGTACAGTTAAATATTAACTGACATCTTCATTCATTCATTTTCTTCTCGGCTGAGTCCCTTTAGTAATCCGGGGTTGCCACAGAGGAATGAACCACCAACTTATCCAGCACATTTTTACGTTGCGGATGCCCTTCCAGCCGCAACCCATCTCTGGGAAACATCCACACACTCATTCATACACACACTCATACTCATACCTACCCATTTCACCTGTACCACATGTCTTTGGACTGTGGGGGAAACTGGAGCACTGGGAGGAAACCCATGCGAACACAGGGAGAACATGCAAACTCCACACAGAAACGCCAACTAAGCACTACCTACTGCGCCACTGCGTAGCCTAACTGACATCTTATTAAAATAAAAGCTTGTATTGTTATTATTATTTAAAGAATTGTATTTGCTATATAACAATTCTTATATTATTTAATGAACAAAAAGTGAACAATTAATAGTTTTTTCTCTTTTAATTAAGATTAGCAAAATATTTATAAATACTTCAAGATGTCTTGCTTATTGTTAGTGTTAATTCACTTTTTAAATTCACTTTTACTACTGTGCATTCACTTTTAACATTAACCATTAGGATTTATTGCAAATTGTTAGCTATATATTGCGATAAAAAGGTTTAAAATTGCTGAAATTAAACAACTGTAAATTAAAATTTATTTTGCACGATATTCTCAAAATTATTTTCTAGTTTGTTTTTAAGTATTGTGGCGGTTCAATCAGGGACTAAGACGAAGAAATGAATTAAATATTGTTAATTCCATTTGATTTAAATAGCCAACACTATACACTCAAAATATGATGTTTGCTGTTTGTTCTTCTTGTTCTTACTTATTTCAAATGAGCTGAAACAACACAGTATTTGAGTTTTTTTTTGTGGACTCAAACTCAAATTTGTAAAAACTAATTGTTAACTTAATTCCTTCATGTTGTCCCAACACTAATCGATTGTGTGGAACCCAGTGCGGTAAAATCTGACATCGATATATGACTGAAGTTTAAATGTTTTTCATTTACATACTGATCTATTTCCTATTTCCTAATCTTTTCATATCCGCATGTTTGGATTTTACTCTGGGAATGCAGAAAAAATATATATATTTATAAAATGTTATTGTATATATTTCTATATATTATTATATATATATTTATTATTATTTTTGTTGTTTTTTTTAGCTTATATTTAGTTTATAACGATTTTTAAATACAACAGAACAAACAAACAACATTGTCTCAGAATATACACACTTTACAGGTAAATATAATGTCACCTGCCTTACATGTGAATTCAGCTGTTGGAAATATAGCATTAGCAATGTAGTGCTACAGTATATATACTATTTATTGTGATAAAAAGGTGAAAATAGCTAAAATTAAACAATTGTAAATTCTAATTTAATTTGCACAGTATTCTTAAAAATATTTTCTAGTTTGTTATTAAATATTGTGGCGGTTAATTCCGTCGTGGTGACCCCTGCTGAATAAAGAGACAAAGCCGAAGGGAAATGTCTGACATCGGTATATGACTTAAGTTTACTTTTTTTTTTTCATTTACATACATACCTTTTCATATCCGCATGTTTGGATCTTAAACTAGGAATGCAGAACAAAAATTAAAAAGCTATTTTGATCCCTTGAAATGAAAAAAATTATATATATAGGTCACACTTTACAATAAGGTTCATTAGTTAATGTTAATTAATGCATTTACTAACATGAACAAACAATGAGCAATACATTTACTACTGTATTTGTTCATGTTAGTTTACGTAAAATAAAGTTGTTCATTGTTAGTTTGTTAACTCATGGTGCATTAGCTAATGTTAACAAGCATGGACTTGGATGTTAATTATGCATTAGTAAATGTTCAATTATGATTATTAATTGCTGTACATGTGTTGTTCATGATTAGTTCATGTTAGTAAATGCATTAACTAATGAACCTTATTGTAAAGTGTTACTATATATATATATATATAATTTTTTGAGTGTGGATACACTAGTTAAATCATTGACATGGATGAACTGTTGTCTTGCAGGAGCTGGTGAACTGGTGTAAACCGTCTCCCTGTAAGAATGGAGGGATCTGCAGACAGAGCGGCACGAGATACAGCTGTCAGTGTCAGACAGGCTGGACTGGTTTATACTGTGACGTTCCCAGTGTTTCCTGCGAGGTGGCCGCCAAACAGCAAGGTTTGTTTATATGAATGGGCCTATTACAGTTAAAGTCAAATTTATTCGCCCTTCTGGGATTTTATTGCCAAATGATGTTTAATAGAGCAAGGCAATTTTCACAGTATGTCTGATAATATTTTTTCTTCTTATTTGTTTAATTTCGCCTTGAATAAAAGCAGTTTTTAATTGTTTTAAAACCATTTTAATGCCAGTATTATTAGCCCCCTTAAGCAATATTTTAATTTCGATTATTATGTATATGTCTAATTAACCTAACCTGCCTTATTAACCTAGTTAAGCCTTTAAATGTCACTTTAAGCTGTATAGAAGTGTCTTGAAAAATATCTAGTCAAATATTATTTACTGTCATCATGGCAAAGATAAAATAAATCAGTTATTAGAGATGAGTTATTGAAACTATTATGTTTAGAAATGTGTTGAACAAAAAAAATCTCTCTGTTAAACAGAAATTGGGGAAAAATATACAAAATATACCCCTTGTTACTCAGCACTGGTTTCTGCTCAGCCTGTTCAGTGTTTGAGATGTTTGTTTCTCCTGATTTCCAGGTGTTGATGTGGTCCGGCTGTGTCGTAACTCTGGCCAGTGTCTGGACGCTGGAAACACACACTATTGTCACTGTCAGGCCGGATACACGGGCAGCTACTGTGAGGAGCAGGTGGACGAATGCATTCCCAATCCGTGCCAGAACGGAGCAACTTGCACCGACTACCTGGGCGGATACTCCTGTGAAGTAAGTCAAGAGGATCTGGAAGTTGGCAATCATCTTCACTGTGAATGGTCCCTTTTCACATATCCGGGTTTCTTAGTTGCGGAAGTCGTCATAGTTGGGTAAACTTAGAGCATGGTAAACGGGAGAGAACAACAAATATTTTTTACAATCCTATTTGCTGAAATAATAACAGAAAAACTCCATAAGGATGTTATAAAGGTGTTCTGACAAAGTAAAAAAAAATAGTGTGTCAGCCAGAAGAGAGAATAACGTCAAATCACCTAACAGCAAGAAGGTCGCTGGTTTGAGTCCCAGCTGGGTCAGTTGACATTTTTGTGTGGAGTTTGCATGTTCTCCCCATGTTGATGTGGGTTTCCTCCGGGTGCTCCGGTTTAACCCACAGTGCAAAGACATGCGCTATAGGGGAACTACCAACCTACGTCACACATGATGTCACACGGGTTCAACCACACAAAGTGGTTACAAAAAAAAGACCGGTTCCAATAGCAAACATGTTGTGTTGTGCGGTAAGAAACCAAATTCAAATACTTTTACCGTACACCACACTGCTTTTAATGCCAACCGCAGACGTCTTTGGCTAACAGCTATCATATGAGCTGAATGGAGTGAGGACCTAATTAAAAACGCTGGACTCTGCAGTTCTTATTTCATATCAGTTAAGTTCACCCTATGCTGAATCATACACATCACTCATTTTTATTGCACAAATGAGTAAAAACAGTTAAATATGGAGAATTAAACTGCGGACACTGAATGCTAAGAATGAAACGTAAAGGGTAAGTTCACATACCCTGCCGTACAGGTGCAGTTCACTGTCAGAATGCAGTTTTGCTTGTTGATGATTACCATGAACAATTGCCTTGTACAGTTCCATCTTCTTTCTTTGTCTTTGGCTAGGCAGAAGCTCGTTTTTTAGCACTACATAGTTTTGAATCTGGTAATCGAGGAGCATTATTTCTTGCACATGACCACACAAAACAAAATTGTAAGCATCCAAACACTTGTAGGCCTTTAACTTCTCTCTTGTAAAATCACTTGGAGTTTGAATGAGATGGTTGTATATTTCAGGCTGGATGCTTGGCGATTTCGTCTTATCCAAAATCCATAGGGCGGGTGCTATCGCAAATGGACCTGTCAGATGAACGCCGCTCACTTTAACGTTAATTTTGCCGAATACCTGCTTATTACTGGGTGACAAGCTTTTATAATATGCTGAAAGCATTATGTAAATTATATATATATATATATATATATATATATATATATATATATATATATATATATATATATATATAATATGTAATCAATATAACTTATTTCTAAGACAACAACAAACTCTGTACCGCATCAGATGTCATTCCATCGCTGTAAATGCAAGCGCTCCTGGTTTTTTTCTGCAACCTCCATGCACAGGCATCCTGAATGTTTACAAATTGGTAGGGACAGACAGAATCTTCAGACATTTTTTGCTATTTCTGCACAGAATTTTTTTAAAATCTGCGGATTTATGCTGAATTATTTTGGGAATATCATAACTAAAACCTTAATATATGAAATAAAAAGTAACACCTTTTTACTTTTATTTAATATTTACAATGCAAATCCAATTAGATCCACTTTATTTGGTAAACAAAGCAAGTCTCTCATATAATATCTCTACTAAAAGACAGAAAATATATCTTTACACACCGTATTGTAAATAAATCATATGAATATTTGCATATTAGACAATAATATTAGAGAAATTTTTTTAAAAAACTGAATAAATGTAAGTTGGCACAAGTAAATAAACAGAATCAATGATATATGCTGGATATGTTGGTGGTTCATTCCGCTGTGGCGACCGCTGATAAATATGGGACTAACCCGAAAGAAAATGAATGAATGAATAATTAGAGACTAGACTGTACAGAGATTAAAATCTAAATGTAGAGCTACTGTAAGTATAAATATAATCATTTGCATGCTCTCGATAAGCTAATTGGCGATCGTTAGATTTAACCACTGCTTTAGGCTAATGTTAGCTAAACCTTCTTTGTAAAAGAAATAGCTTGTTTGGCAAAGCCTGGAGAAAGCGCCTAGTAAACAGAAAGCTGTTTGTTTTATGTTTGGCATTAATTTGCCTCTCCTTGTTGTGTTTCTTGAAGTGTGTGCCAGGTTATCATGGAGTGAACTGCTCTGATGAGATCAATGAGTGTCTGTCTCAGCCCTGCCAGAACGGGGGCACATGCATCGACCTGATCAATACCTACAAATGCTCCTGTCCTCGGGGAACACAAGGTCAGATTTCACTTCCTCCTCTGTTTGGCACTTTTTCATGCTTCGTTTTCTTTATTAATTACAGCTTGCACATTGACTGATGCTTTCATGCTTAATTATGGAACCGCTTGATTGTTTTATGTTCAATCCACTTAAATTTGTAAAAAGAATTACGTTTTAATTGAATCTTTTTGTGTTAGGACGAGTGTTGTGCTAGTTACTGAAAAATAGTAACTAGTTACAGTTACTATGAGTAACTCAGTTACTTTATTGATTACTTACACCAAAAAGTAATGAATTATTATAAACAGTCATACATTTTATGCATTTTAAACAAAACAAAAACGTAACAGCTGCTTAAAACTGAAATCTATCAGCAGTTTTTAAACTAACCACAAATTAAACGTGGTATGTCAGCAACTTATGGAAAGTAAGCTGTGTACATTCAAAGTGCAAAATCTGCTGTTGTATAACGGCTATAAAAATATGTAAAACAATAAACAAATGTTAAAAAATCAGTATTTTTCTGATCAATACAACACTATACATTTAAACAATGTGTTTAGAAATATGACAGAAATGTGTCACTGTGTCTACTAAACTAATCAGTTGTGTTATACAGAAAACAAAAGTGTGCTTATTTATTTGAAGCAACAAACATAGTAGCCCTGGTGTGTGTGTGTGTGTGTGTGTGTGTCTGTGTGTGTGTCTGTGTGTGTGTGCGCGTGCTGTATTTATAGTCCGCGTAATGAATGAATGATGAGCTTCAGCTGTGTCTGTGTGAAATCATCTGATCTCGGAAAAGGTGCATGTGAGCGGTGCATGACTGGACCTTGTAGTCCATGTAATGACGGATTTGTAGTTCATTGCGATCTGTGTGTTAACCAGCAATCTGCCAGGATTAGATCGCTGGTGATTGTGAAAATTTATAATAATAATTACGTTTTAATTGAATCTTTTTATGTTAAGACGAGTGTTGTGCTAGTTACTGAAAAATAGTAACTAGTTACTAGTAACTAGTAGATTTATAATAATAATGATAGTAGTAACCTTATTAGCTTCTTAGTTTCTCATGCGCACGCATTCGGTCTCTTTCACAAACACACTTGGCCTCTCTTGCGCGCACCTGGTCTCTCTTGTGCACACCCAATCTCTTGTGCGTGCTCGGTCTCTCTTGCGCACACACTTGGTGTACCTTGCGCGCATTCAGTCTCTGTTTCTGTGTGACTTTTGTGAAATCTCCTCATACACAACGTGTTTTCTTTATGGTAATTGGTTGGCATCAACCAATCCCACAATGCGATGCCGCTGTAAAAAAAGAAGATGTGGGCTAGACTGCAGCCAAAATAATTAACTTACCAAGTAACGGACAAACACATCATAACGATAACGGAGTTATTTATTTAAAAATTAATGCGCTACAATATTAGTTACTGTCAAAAGTAATGCCATTACAGTAATGCATTGTTAGAAACGCGTTATTGCCCAACACTGGTTAAGGCAACATGCAGTAATTTTGTGTTACCCAGCATTTATTTTCTAGTGTAGCTAGAATGTACACTGTAAAAAATACTGGGTTCTACACAAGTGCTTTGTGTTGGGACAACATAAAGAAATTAAGTTAATTATTAGTTTTTACAAATTTAAGTGGATTGAACATAAAACAGTTAAGTTGTCCCCAAAAAAATCTCAAGAGTTGTGTTGTTTCAGCTCATTTTAAATTAGTAGCTAGAACAAGCAACAAAAAAAAATGTTATTGAGTATATAAGTGCAGCTTTTCTTATACTTTTTTCCAGGTGTGCACTGCGAGATCAACATTGACGACTGCACACCGTTCACTGACCCCATCACCCATGAGCCTAAATGCTTTAACCAGGGCCGCTGTGTGGACCGTGTGGGCGGCTACCACTGCATCTGTCCCCCTGGGTATGTTGGGGAACGCTGTGAGGGCGACGTCAACGAGTGCCTGTCCAACCCCTGTGGCACACACAGCTGCATCCAGCTCAAAAACAACTACCGCTGCGAGTGTCGCACAGGATACACAGGTACAAACACAGCCCCCTGCTCTATTATCATATTCTCCCGACAAAAATTCTTGCTGCACACAAACAGCTTTGCTGTATCGGCCCTGACTGCATCGCGGGCAAAAACATGCAACAAACCCCGTGGATCATGGAAACAAACACTTACGACCCTTCATGAACAGCTAATTTCTGTGTGCCGTGGGTCTGTGTCTCACAGCTTGGCAGGTCTGTCTTGCCTTCGGAAAGCATGCGCAGTCATGAATAATTAAGAAGGCAGCTCTTCTCATAGGATAAGAAAACTCCGCTATGAATAATAATGAGAAACCGACCCATCATCATTGCACTTGCAGTTTTGCGCTACGTCGCCGATTTTGATTACACTTCAAAAATCATTTTAAACCCAGAAGCTGAAAATAGCCTGTAATAAAGTTCGTTGTGTGGAAAGAAGGAAGCGGAGAACCGACGCAGTTTTTAAACTATTTATTAATAACAGTGACGGCAGTCAAATATGTCCGGGCCCGGTCCTCTCTTGGCTTCCTCTGCCATCATTCCTCCTTTTATAGTCCAGAGCTCCTTCCGTGGGATTCGAGGCAGGTGCGCACCTCAGGTGTATTCACTTACGCGGCGGCCTCATTCCGTTCCCAGGGCTCACGGCCACGCCCCCTCGCCACATACCCCCATCTCCCATCACAGGCCGGGGGCACCCCGTGGTTTGGCGCCACAGCACCCACGAGACCTATATGAGACAGGCCGAGAGAAAAGGAGATGGAAAAGGAGAAAGGACAGAGTAGTCCGAGAAAGGGAAGAGAGGAAAAAGGAAAAAAATAAATAAAATTTGGGGTTCGGTTCTCCAGACACGCTGCCACTCGGTCCTCCACCAGCAGAGAGATGCGACGACGTGCTGGGAGCCCTGTGGAGGAATCTATCCACCCGTCCGTCTTCTCCTAGCTGGCTGGCGGCATCTCAGGTCTCCTGCTACGCTCCCGCTTCGGTGGACGGATGCAGGCTACTGCATCATGGCGGATCGCGACGACTCCCCCGGGTTCTGTGGGATGGCTCCCTTCAGCACTTTCCCCTCCGGTGGTAAGCCCAGCGTCCCCTGCTCCTCCCCATGCTGGGAGACGGCAGCAGGCAGATCCTTTCCTCGCCAGCCTCAGGCCTCAGCTCCTCACGGAGACTGCCGTCAAACTGAAAGCAAAAGTAAAATATGTCCGGGCCCGGTCCTCTCTCGACTTCCTCTGCCATCGTTCCTCCTTTTATAGTCCAGAGCTCCTTCTGTGGGATTCGAGGCAGGTGCGCACCGCAGGTGTATCCACTCACGCGGCGGCCTCATTCCGTTCCCATGGCTCTATGCCACGCCCCCTCGCTACATAGCTGACAAAAGCTCAAAATTATCCAGTATTCCCCACAATTTAAGCTAACAGATGCTAACATTGTCTTAACTGTTGCTCAACACACTCAAATCTCAAAAAAAGTACTCAAGGGTTTCGTGAACCTTTAAAAGGAACACTATGGGGCGCACCGGTGCCTTCACCGTTGCAGATGGATAGGACAAAACCTCCTGTTATCATGGAAAATATATCTTTTATTGCTTGTTGTGGCATCACATGTTCCTAGCACATGTTGTCAGGATGTACAACTGAAATGTTTAATATGGTTGTTTGTGTATCTCTACAGGTCAGCATTGTGACAAAGTGTTTGATGGCTGTAAAGGGAAGCCGTGTCGTAATGGAGGCACCTGCGCTGTAGCCAGTAACACTCCTCATGGCTTTATCTGCAAATGTCCACCGGTTAGTCACATTCTCACACGTCACATCCATAGCACTGGAATTGCTCATAAGCAGTGATCCCTTACTTTAATTTTTGAGCAGAAAAGTCAGGGCCGGCCCATGGCATAGGCAGTATAGGCAAATGCTAAGGGCGCTGTACAGCCAGGGGGCGCCAGAAATGAGCACGGTTAAGTTGGTTTTGTTTTTGATATTCCTGACACATTCAGTGATAGACAGCAATAACTCAAACACCTCCTAGCCTAAAAAGATCTAAAGTGTGTTTCCTACAAAAAGACAAAGCTGGTTATGTTTTACAGCTGTCTTTTTCTTTTCTTTTTCGCTCGACATTACGACGACCACTGCTCCGTTTAGCCGGGGATATGCGTTTTGATGGAAGAGCTTGCGCTGAGCGTAGCTCTCAGTGAGGGACTTTCGGAAAAGTGCTTATTTTTTTCTTCTTTTAATTTTTTTGCTCTGTCCTGCGTGTTTATTTTAAACACAACTAATTTTCTCTTAAATGAGCACAAACAGTTACTAAAGTAGTCGAATGCTTCATTCATTCATTCAATATAGAGCTGTGCATTCTTACATTAACACCTCTGTTATCAAACCAAACACAATGAGAGATTAATTTGCTGATCTTCACTAAATAACTATAGTAACTTTAATCAATATGTTAATACAATTTAAAGTTAAATAGATTTTATAGCTTTATTTATTTCTGTATAAGCCATTGTTTTTAATAGGGTAAACCTTTTATTTTATTCTCAATATGTTCTAATGTTTGCTATGTATTCTATCATTTGAAGCTATTTGTTGTCCCATGTTTTTTACATCCCAACGTTGACAGCTATGGCATAACATTGCTAATCAATAAATAGCTATAGCGCTATCTGTTAGGTTGAACGTCAGCTAATGTTATGGAAGGGCATAGATGTTACAGAAAATAGTAATAGTAATGTAACTACCTTCATTATTACTTCCTCAAGCAAATGTGTAAATATTAGATCTATTCAGCATTAATGTTAATTGCATTGGCATGTTTATCTGACGTTTTCCCAGCTTGTAGTAGTCGATCAAAAAGCTAATTAGTTTCTTATGACTATACACTAGCAGTGGAATTTACTGCGATGTGACGGGGCGCCACCTGAAATCTTGCCTAGGGCGCCAAATTAGTTAGGGCCGGGCCTGAGAAGAGTTAGAGTAACTAATTACACCTCAAAATTTCAGTATAAACCATGATAAAAAAAGTTTTGCATCTTGTGCATGTCTCATTTAGGGTTTTACGGGCTCGACCTGCGAGTACGACGCTCACGCATGTGGGAGCCTTCAATGCAAAAATGGCGGGACGTGCGTTTCTGGTCACAAGAGTCCCAAATGCCTGTGCACCCCTGCTTTCACTGGTCCCGAGTGCCAGGATCCCAGCGGAGGCCACTGCACCACTAACCCCTGCTATAACGGAGGCACGTGCGAGTATATAACCGAGGAGCCGTATTACCACTGCATCTGTCCCACCAACTTCAACGGCCTCTTCTGCCACATCCTGGACTGGAGTTTTCCAGGCGGCACTGGTCAGGACATCACGCCGGCTCCTAAGGTGTCGGTCAGCTGCGAGATTGAGCAGTGTAAAGTCAAGAAGGGCAATAAGATCTGTGACAGCGCATGTAATAATTACGCCTGCGATTGGGACGGTGGCGACTGTTCGCTGAACTTTAATGACCCATGGAAGAACTGTTCGGCGGCTCTGCAGTGCTGGCGCTATTTTAATAACGGGAAGTGTGATGAACAGTGCCACAACACGGGATGCCTCTATGATGGGTTCGACTGCCAGAGAGTGGAGGCACAGTGCAAGTGAGTGCTGTTTAAAAGTTTGCTTTATTCATTTTAAGAGTTTCATGTTTGGGCCAGCTATGTGAACCAGCAATTTACAGCTGAAATGAAAAGAAAGGATTTTGTTTCCCTTTAAATTATTTTATAGTACAGACCTCTTGCTAAAGCCAAGACTAGCCAGAGCATCTGCTAGTACAAGATATGTGGTTAGATTTAATTTAATTGTAAATGCAGAATTAAAAAACAGTCAATGTGATATGATCATATATATAAACAGTAGCATATACACATATATAAACTAATAAAAATAGAATAAAAACAGATTTAATAAAATGGATAAAACATTATGAAGAAAGTATTCTTGAAAAACTAATAAAAAAGGCATAACATAAAGTGTATTATTAACATGAAAAGGAAAAATGTAAGAATGAAAACATAATTTTAATTAAACTCTATTATTACTCTTATTATTAAATGAATTATAATTATTATTTAAATTATTAATTTTTTTTCTATCCTTAAACTATAATTACAAATGTATTTGAACATATACAGTTGAAGTCAGAATTATTAGCCCCCCTTTTAATTTTTTTTCTTTTTTAAATATTTCTCAAATGATGTTTAACAGAGCAAGGACATTTTCACATTAAGTCGGATAATATTTTTTCTTCTGGAGAAAGTCTTTTTTGTTTTTTTTTCTGCTAGAATAAAAGCAGTTTTTAATTTTTTTAAGCCATTTTAAGATCAATCTTATTAGCCCCTTAAGCTATATACTTTTCCGATAGTCTACAGAACAAACCATCATTATACAATAACTTGCCTAATTACCCTAGTTAAGCCTTTAAATGTCACTTTAAGCTGTATAGAAGTGTCTTGAAAAATATCTAGTAAAATCTTATGTACTGTCATCATGGCAAAGATAAAATAAATCAGTTATTAGAAATAAGTTATAAAAATTATTATGTTTAGAAATGTGTTAAAGAAAAACTTCTCTCTGTTAAACAGAAATTAGGAAAGAAATAAACAGGGTGTCTAATGATTCAGGGGGGCTAATAATTCTGACTCCAACTGTATATATATATATATACACACACACACACACACACACACACACACACACTATTGGTTAAATGTTTATGGTCAGTTTTTTTTTTTGTTTGTTTGTTTTTTCATCTGTTCATCAAGGCTGCATTTATTAAATATAAAAAAAAATGTTGAATTTTTAAATCTTTATTAAAATTGAATGTGGTTTCAAATGAAAATATTACTCCAGTCATTATTGCTTTTATTACTATTACCATTAATAATAATAACAATAATACTAATATTTATAATAATTATAATAATATTTAATTTTTCTTTTTGGCTTAGTCCCTAAATTAATCTGTGGTCGCCACAGTGCCAACTTATCCAGTTAAACCGCCAACTTGTCCAGCCTATGTTTTACGCAGCGGATGCCCTTCCAGCTGCATCCCATCACTGGGAAACATCCATACACCATTATTCACACACAGACACTACGGACAATTTAGGCTACCCAATTTACCTGTACCGCATGTCTTTGGACTTGTGAAGAAACCGGAGCACCCGGAGCAAACCCACGCGAACGCGGGGAGAACATACAAACTCCACACAGAAATGTGAAATGCTACCCACTGCACAACTGTGTCGCCCTAATAATAATAATTAATATTAGAGTGATTTCTAAAGGGTCACGTGACACTGACGACTGCAGTAATGAAGCTGAAAAATCATCTTTAAAGTCACTGGAATAAATGATTAAATAAATTATAAACTACTTTTGAACAGTTATTTTATAATGCAATAACATTTCACATTTGTACAGTTTGTGCTGTAGTTTTGATGAAATAAATTTAGCCTTGGTGAGCAGCAGAAGCTTATTTTAAAACATTTAAAAATTGCACTGACCCTAAACTTTTGACCGGTAGTACATATATATATATATATATATATATATATATATATATATATATATATATATATATATATATATAATATTTTATTTTATATTATAAATTATATATTATATTATTTATTATATTATTTAAAATTATATTATTATACTGTAATATCTATAAAAAAAAAAATAATAGCACTGCTCAGTAGCAATAAAAACCTAGAATAGTTACATTTTGACAAAGAAAAGTAAAAATGGTTATCCTTAGTGACTGAATTTAGGAAGATGGTACTGTAGCTTGTCCAAAATTGCTTACAAACCCGAATCTTCTTGACCCAGATGGTCTAACAGGTCAAAACCAGGTCCGCACTCTTGTAGTCCAGCCTTAGAGACTGTCTAAAAGCAGAAAAATAAATACAGTTTCTAAACTCTCCTCTTCTTTCTCCTAGTCCACTATACGATCAGTATTGCAAGGACCACTTTGCAGACGGCTACTGTGACCAGGGCTGCAATAATGCAGAGTGTGAATGGGACGGCCTGGACTGCGCTAACGACACCCCCGAGAAGCTGGCTGCAGGACTGCTGGTTGTGGTGGTCCACATTCACCCTGATCAGCTCCGAAACAACTCGTTCGGGTTTCTGCGGGAGCTCAGCCGAGTGCTCCACACCAACGTGGTTTTCCGGCGGGATAGCAAGGGGCAAGAAATGATCTACCCGTATTACGGCAATGAGCAGGAACTGAAGAAACACAACATCAAACGATCACTAGACGGCTGGAACGATGCTTCTAGCGATGTCTTGAGCTCGATGAAAAACAGCATTTACAATATAGTAGTGGAAGGAGGGAGAAAACGCAGAGAACTGGAGAAGATACAAGTCAAAGGGTAAGTGTGTGTGATATAAAAAAATGTCGGAATAGTTGGCGGTTCAGTCCACTGTGGGGAAAATTGAATTAATAATTCAAAGCGGCATATAAACATTTGCTGTCGTGACTTTTTGTCAGATTATTTCTTCAAGACATGCTTTAATAAAATCAATTCTTATGTTTCCCATCAGCTCCGTGGTTTATCTGGAGATTGACAACCGGCAGTGCTACCAGCAAACCTCCGAATGCTTCCAGAGCGCCAACGACGCGGCGGCGTTCCTCGGAGCGCTGGCTTCCAGCGGCAGTCTGAAAATGCCTTACGTCATCGAGGCCGTCACAAGTAAGCGTTCGGCACGAGCATTGTCGTGTGCCTCACGTCTTCCCATAATGCCTTTAATCAACACTAGGCCTCCTATCTTACTCAATGTATTCAATACCAACCCCCCCATCCCCAACCTTTAACCCCACCGCCTCCTACCGCGGATTACAGGGATCGCTTTGAAGTTTGTAGCGTTTCTTCCTTATAACAATGAAGCAAGTGTTCTTTGTGCATTAGACAGACTAAACAATCAATGCACTGGTCTGAGGGCAGATCTGCTTCCTCCAGGCAACCCAAAATAGTTAATTGATGCAAATCATGTCAACTCGTTTGGCTCAACATGACACATACATGCATGGCGTGAATGTGAAATGATGGGGGGGCTGCCGCAACCTTAACCTAGTCGAACGTAGCAGGACTTAACGCATCTCCAAGGGTTTAGATGAGCAGAGTTTATCATTTCAAAATCGTTAGTGGAGAGAGTGTGGAAAAAAAAAGAGAAGAGTGGAGAAAAATTGATCGGGAGTGTGCTAGAAGTTGGGAGTCTTTGTTATCTGGAAAATCCTAATAAATCCTTCGTCTTTACAGCTTAAAGTGTGCGCGGTAATTTGAAGTTCATTAATCCCTCCCTTTTTTTTCCCTTAAAGAAGAACTGGTAAAGTTGTCTCCTGGTACCCTGGGCTGAGAAAAAGGGAGAGGAGGTGTTCATTCGTTTTTTTTTCCCCGTCCTCCTCCTTTTTTCTTATTTGCCAGCTTTTTTTGATGAGAAGCGGTTAGCAATTCTGATTACCGCATAGTTTGTCCGCCCATCTTCGGAGCATATTCTTGACTCTTGACATGTCAACGGTTGTTCCTGTGGCAGGTGAGATCGATGGACCGTCGCCTGTAGAGCTCTATCCAGTCTACGTGGTTCTGGCAGGATTGGCGCTGCTGGCCTTTGTCGCCATTGGGATGGTGGCGTCCCGTAAACGGCGCCGGGAACACGGACAACTTTGGTTTCCGGAGGGTTTTAAGACCAGCGAGCCCAGCAAGAAGAAGAGGAGAGAGCCGGTCGGAGAAGATTCAGTCGGTTTGAGGTCAGTTTGAGATTTCTATTTCAGCATTTGTCGAGCTTAATCTCATCGTCTGAGTGCGAATTACGTTTTCTAGATCTGATATTTATTATTTTACAGGGTTTCAAGTCAAATTTAAGACTTTTTAAGACCATGAAGAATTTAAATTCAGACTTACAGTTGAAGTCAGAATTATTAACCCCCCTGAATTATTGGCCCACCTGAAATATTTGCTCCTCTGTTTATTGTTTTTCCCAATTTCTGTTTAACAGAGAGCAGATTTTTTAGCACATTTCTAAACATAATAGTTTTAATAACTCATCTCTAATAATTGATTTATTTTATCTTTGCCATGATGACATCACATAACATTTTACTAGATATTTTTCGACACTAGTATTCAGCTTAAAGTGACATTTAAAGGCTTAACTAGGTTAATTAGGTTAACTAGGCAGGTTGGGGTGATTAGGCAAGTTATTGTATAACGATGGTTTGTTCTGTAAACTATCGAAAAAAATAGCTAGTAGAGGCTAATAATTTTGACCTTAAAATGGTGATTAAAAAATTAAAAACTGCTTTTATTCGAGCCAAAATAAAACAAATCAGACTTTCTTCAGAAGATAAAATATTATCAGACATACTGTGAAAATTTCCTTGCTCTGTTAAACATCATTTGGGAAATATTTAACAAAATATAAATAAAGGTAGAATTTTTTAAATGGCCAAGCAGACAAAATATGTACTTAACCCATCAAAAAATCTATTTTAAAAGATTATGTATTATGTATTTTAAACAATCTGTCAAAACAAGCAGACCTAGCTGTTTGCACAAGCTAAATGTATGGACAACAGACTGTTATAATATTAGTTATGAATAAAAGGTTTTATTGAGATGGATTGTTGGTGGTTGGTTGTGCGTTGGATCGATTGGGTAGCTTTACATTCATCCATTCATTTTCCTTCAGCTTAATCTCTGATTTATAAGAGGTCGCCACAGCAGAATGAACCGCCAGCATATGTTTTACGCTGCGGATACCCTTCCAGTATTGGGAAAGGTATAAAGAGAGGAAAATTAAGACCAATTTAAATGATTTAAAACCTACAAGACAATGTTTCATTGAATTTAAGACATTTTAAGGCTTTTTAAGGCTTTGTTTTTAAGGTGTGTTGTAGGATAAGGTTTAGTTTTGGTGGTTGTTGTGTGTTTCAGATGTACAGTTGAAGTCAGAATTATTAGCCCTCCTAAATTATTATCCCCCTTGTATATATTTTTTTAAGTTCTATTTAACAGAGATATTTTTCAGCACATTTGTAATCATAATAGTTTTAATAACTAATTTCTAATAACTGATGTCTCTTATCTTTGCCATGTTGACAGTACATAATATTTGACTGGATATTTTATTAAGATACTAGTATTCAGCTTAAAGTGACATTTAAAGGCTTAAATAGGTTAATTAGCAGGGTATCCGCGGGGTCTTAAAAAATCTCAAAAGCTAAATTTTAGGCCTTAAAAAGTCTTAAATCTACCAAAATGTTGAAGATGTGTTGAAGGTCCTTTACATTCATTCATTCATTTTCCTTCGGCTTAGTCTCTGATTTATCAGAGGTCGCCACAGCGGAATGAACCACCAGCTATTCCAGCATATGTTTTACGCGGCGTATGCCCTTCCAGCTGCAACCCAGTACAGGGAAAGGTATAAAGACAGGAAATTAAGACTCATTTAAATGACTGAAGACCTACAAGGCAATGTTTCAGTGAATTTAAGACTTTAAAATTGTGTTTTATTTTACTTTTTAAGACTCCGTGGACTCTGTTTCTAAGGTGTGTTGTACGATTAAGTGAGGTTTTGGTGGTTGTTATGTGTGGGTTTCAGATTTACAGTTGAAGTCAGAATTATTAGCCCCCTGTGTATATATATTTGCCCAATTCTATTTAACAGAGAGATTTTTCTACACATTTCCAAACATAATAGTTCTAATAACTGATTTATTTTATTGTGTCATGATGACATTCATAATATTTTACTAAATATTTTTAAAGACACTAGTATTCAGCTTAAGGTGACATTTAAAGAATTAACTAGGTTAATTAGCAGGGTATCCACGTCTTAAAAAATCTCAAAAGCAAAATTTTAGGCTTAAAAAAGTCTTAAATGTAGTGAAATAATGTGCTGTAGTTCTTAAATCTTTTTTAACAGGTCTTATTTTTCCTTTGTTCGTGTATAGCTACCCAATCTGGCTATTAACACCCATACAATCACCAACACTCTATCTCAATAACACTTTTTTTATTCAAAAATAGCGTTTTATTACTTTATATTATCATTTGCTTAACCTCCTAAACTCTGGAACCTGGTACCAGGTCTGTGACATCATTTACTGTTTGTACTGGCCCAAATACACCCATAAGTGGTTCTGTTCTCTCATCAGTTGGAATAGAATAACTTCCGCATAGATTATGGTAGAGACATTTTCCTTTTTTTCTATGATTACTGACATGTGCAGGAACCACCAAAATTAATTACAGCAACCCAGATCACGTGGAATCTAAAAGGTACTCTTTTAAATTTGAGTTTACAAAAAAAAGTGCCTCTTTTTTGGAGGGGTTTATTATAACACAAAAAACATATACAAATATTTTAATCACTCTCAGCAGTGTTTTACGAAAATTCAAAGGGTTTTCTTTAAAATGATACCAAACTTTTGCAATTACACCTCTGCATGTGGATTTGGGATGCTTTTACATTTAGGTAGGCAAAATCCAGGAAACCCAAAAATAGCACTTGACTTTAAGCGGTTAAAAGTTCACCATTTGTTTACTGCAAATACAGAGGAGAGGATACTGGCCTGACCTTTATTTTTTATTATTAAATTATTATTATTGTAGACTGAAGTATTATTATTGTTGACTGAAGTAAGTGACAGCTTTGTTTTGTTCTATTCTTGGTAAGGGTTATAGGGTTTGTGAATGGATATATTTAAATATTTTTTATTGAAAATATATTGATTATTATTGTTTTATTAAATGTATTAAATTTTAATCATTGTTTTAATGGGGCAAGTGAAAATCTTGTCTAACTGAGATATTCAAAAAAATAGCATTTAGCCCTGTATAAGTCTAAAATTTCAATCATCATGGTCTTAATAAGACTTAAATTTAACTTGGTAACCCTGATTAGGCAAGTTAGGGTAATAGGCAAGTCATTGTAATGGTTTGTTTTGTAGACAAACGAAAACAAATATTGCTTAAGGGAGCTAATAATTTTGACCTTAAAATAGCTTTAAAAAAAATTAAAACTGCTTTTATGCTAGCTGAAATAAAACAAATCAGACTTTCTGCACAAGAAACAAATATTATAGGAAATACTGTGAACAATTCCTTGCTTTGTTAAACATAATTTGGGAAATATTGAATGAAGAAAAAACATTCACAGGAGGGCGAATAATTCTGACTTCAACTGTATATGTGAGCTGTACATAAGACCTTTATCTATAACTGATTGATAGATTATAACATTTCTGAATATGAAGTTGGAATACAATGACAGCTCCTTTGTTCTATAAAGGTTATCGCAGCATCTCTAATGAGCTTTTTTCTGAAAACAGGCCACTTAAGAACTGTTCAGACATTTCGTTAATGGACGACAACCAGAATGAATGGGGAGAGGAGGAACAGTCCGACAGCAAACGCTTCAGGGTGAGCAGAGCTGCACTTTACATGAAATCATCAAATCACGTCATTTATAACATGTTCTGATGTTAAAAGAAACGTCTGGTTGTCTTCTTTCAGTCTGAGGAGCAGGCGATGCTGGATTTAGACGATCAGCCAGATCACAGACAGTGGACGCAGCAGCATTTGGACGCAGCCGATCTGCGCATCCCATCCATCGCTCCCACACCGCCTCAGGGCGAGATAGAGAACGACTGCATGGACGTCAATGCCCGAGGACCAGGTTAGACATGGTTTCTCTTCTTTTTTTATAACATAATAATGGTTTTGCTGAGTATTTTGACTTTTTTAGGTCAAAAAAGAAGGGTTGAAGTATAAAAATTATTAAAAAATAATAATAATACAGCTTTATGTTTCTTTAGACTAAACAGTTTAAATTAAGTCAAACTCATTCACTCTCATGTGAATTATTTTTGAAAAATTTCCCAAATGATGTTTAACAGAGCAAGGAATTTTAAACTGTAATTCCCATAATATTTTTTCTTCTGCAGAAAGTCTTATTTGTTTTATTTCGACTAGAATAAAAGCAGTTTTAAATTCATTTTTAAAACCTTTTTAAGGTCAAAATTATTAGCTCCCTTAATCAGTATTTTTTTTTATTGTCTACAGCCGCGGTACCCAACAGAGGGGTCCAGGCCCACAAGGGGGCCTCAGCGAGCTCTGTGGGGGGTCGTGCCATGTTTTACATTTTTTTTTTAGCAGTGGAGAATTAGGAGAACGATCATGTTGCCTTTCATTTTATCCTCTGGCTGACCCAAAAAATGGACAAATTTGTAATTTGTCCTCCCCAAAAAAGACAGAAGCTACGTCCCAAAACGCATACTTAATATTCCATTTTGTAGTATAAATAGTCTAAATGCGTTCACACTGAAAACTCTAAAAATAATAAGTGCACTTTAATTACCCGGATGATGCACTCATTCAGCCTAGTAAAATGAAGTGTGTACTGCCGGACACTTGACGCACTCAACGACTGCAGGTTTGCTCATGTAGCGGAAGGGGCGGAGCTATCGGGCGCACATGTTGCATAACTTTATTTATTTTGGATGGTGAAAGCAAAATTCTCCTACGAGAGGGATTATAGCGCCTCTCTATGGTGAATACGGGTTGACTTATGGCAGGTATTATTTGATAGTTTGGTCATTTATTTCACTGATTTGGCAACCGTCAAACGTCATCAGGGAAACGGTTAGTAAAAAAACATTAGTGCTCCATTTGGGACGACACTACATACATATATTATGCTGCTCAGTGTGTAAGTAAATAGTGCATGAGTGCATAGTGTGCCACAAGCATGTGCACACATAGGGCTCAACCTGTGCAGTGCACATGCCCTTTTTAGTCTTGGATAGAAAGTGCCCTTCCCTAATGATCTGATGTGCACCCCCCCTCTTCAGTTCGCGCGCAACATCACCCCCACCCCCCCTGCTCTTCAGTTCACGCGCGACAACCCTCACCTACACCCCCATCCCCCTCCCCCCCACCTCGGGTCTTCAATAATTTTTTCCGCTGCACATGCCCCTTGGAAGGTCTCTGCACGGGCCTGGTGTGCCATTTGAGGCGCAGCTACTGTCTCACTGATTCGCCTTCAGCTAATAACAGTAATGACCCAAGGATACTGGACCCAGGTGAGGAAGCTCCAAACGTTTCAGGTCACAGCGCTAGCAATACTGGAAACACAGTATGCAGGAAATACCTAGATAGTTACCTGAACTATGGTTTTATTATATTTTTTCGAAGCAAAGAGTCCCTGATCCAATCAAAGTTCTTGCTAACGAATCCATGAGGCCATCCAAATTAATAAGACATTTGCAGACGACTCATCCCCAATACCGCAATGTGTACCCAATGCTTTAATATTTTACATTAAGCTAGTATTTGTGCATAAACCTATCTAGATATAGTATTAAACATACCGTTTGTTTGAAAACAATCTTTTTTTCATACCTACAGCAAACTTATATGAGCAATAATAGCATTGAATGTGGATGGGGGCCTTATTTTCCTGGGGAAAATGGGGGTCACAGGCAAAAAAAAAAAGGTTGGGAACCACTTGTCTACAGAGCAAACCATCATTATACAATGACTAGCCTAATTACCCTTACTTACCTGATTAACCTAGTTAAGCCTTTAAATGTCAGTTTAAGCTGTATAGAAGTGTCTTAAAGAATATCTAGTCAAATATTATATGCTGTCATCATGGAAAAGGTCAAAGAAATCAGTTATTAGAGAAATGTGTTGAAAAAATATTGGGTTGTGGCTGAAAAGGCATCCGCTGTGTAAAATATATGCTGGAACAGGTGGCGGTTCATTCCACTGTGGCGACCACTGATAAATAAGGGACTAAGTTGAAGGAAAATGAAAGAATAATAATATTAAAATTCATTGAAATAAATAACATTTTATTTAATACATAAATGTATCCTTACAATTAATTAATATTAATATTTATTATTATTTAATATTAATTTTATTAATAAAATTAATAATTATAATGACTTTTTTTATCATTTGAAAGATTTTTACAAATAATTTTTCTTGTTTATCTAACAAAAAAAAAAGCGTATATTCATTCCGATATTCCTGAGAACTCAACCAGTCTAAAAGATGTTCATTGCTTATGGATTACACCTGTTCTCCGGTCTGCACGCAGTGTGTGTGCGCGCGCCGTCGAGTGCTAGGATGAAGCACTGAATTGAGCTCTAAGTAGGAGTTAATGCTCAGGGCCCTGTGGGAAACAGAATCCACTTCAAAGGCTCCGACTGAAAGCCGTAAACCCTGGAGACTGAGCACATTTTTACCAGTCTTAACGATTCATCCTGCGATATCATTCTGCTTACATGTGTTTTATTAATTAAAGCCGCTCCCATTCTATAATCACAAGCGTATCCCTGACAAACACAAAGGCAACGTTCTTTTGCCATCCCTTCGCAAGCTGTTTTTCCTCTCTTTGGCCTTCATGTGGATTGATGTTTTTAAATCGACCAAATCAAGAGCCGATCTGGGAATAGCTATTCTTTTGAAGCCGAGAAGCCCCTGTCGAAGTCAGCAAAGAAAGCAGCTTCTCAAAGGTGATAATGCTCAGTTTTACCAACGGTTGAAGTTTCAAAGTGTGGCCTGCGTCTCTGAGCTTTACCAAACCGCCACGCTTGATTACAGTCGGTTATCGAAGCGATCTGGGGTGATTCAGAAAAGCAGCACGTCAAATCCAACTTCGATTTGTTTGTTTCTTTGGTTCGTCACTTAGAGGGAAACGTTTCTTTAGGTTTGCTGTGAAACTAGCTCTGCTCTAAGGAAATACTTTGGTGTGGGAGTGGAGTTTCATTTGTTTTAGACTCTTTTTCCTCAAATGTTTAGTAAGTAACAATACATACTGGGATTTTTGTGGAAATTATATGGATTTTAAAAATGGTCAACTTTATCTTCATTTAATCGCTTTTTTTTCAGACCCTTTTGAGTTTCTTTTTTATTATTAATTATTTTTTTCTGCAGTTGATCAGAAAAAAAAAAATCAAAGGGGGGCTAATAATTTCAATCGATAGACCTTATCAATGACAGATTAAGCATGGACATTTAAAGGATATGCTTGCTGTGAGACGTGTCCACTACTTTACACATTAAAATAGTAATCAAGTGTGTGCAGTTTATGTTACCTTATGGAGTTTCTGTCTTGGCATTGAACACACATAAAACACGGTTGTGCGCATATCCGCAGGTGCTGCAGAGCATTAATAGATCATGGTTACATCTGCTGGTGCAGCCATTAATATGCGGGTCAGGTAATCAAAAAGTACTACATGGTGTACGCAAAAGGCTACATGATGTTTAATTATGGGTGGGTTGCGGGTGAATAAGATTAATAATTGGTCATGCAAACTTTTAACTACATTGCATAAAATATAAAACGATTGTATGAGCAATATCACACGAGTAGCAGTGTGATATGGCTGTATATCGGCCATATCGCACTGCTACGAGTGTGATATTGCATTTATACAACAGTTTGACGGCATAATTGTGTATATAAAAACAAAATTAAACAGAGTCTCAAAAACACTTTTGTATGAGGAACTACTTTCTTCCACCTTGGATTCAAATCATAAGCTGACAGTTAAACAGCTGAGCAAGCATCTTTTAAACTTTAGATCTGTAGTGTCTGCTTGTTGCTGGCTGTATGTGGGCGGAGTAATACACAAAGGGTAAAGAGGCTGTATGGGTGCTGATATTATTTAAATATATCACGGCTATCAGTAAAAATATATAGCTTAAAGAGGCTAATAATTTTGACTTTAAAATGGTTTTTAAAAAATTTTAAACTGCTTTTATTACAGCCGAAATAATACAAATAAGACTTTCTCCTGAAGAAAAAATATTATCAGACATACTGTGAAAATGTACTTGCTCTGTTAAACATCATTTGGGAAATGTTTTAAAAAGGAAAAAAAATCAAAGGCAGCTAATAATTCTGACTTCAACTGTAAATATATATATATTTAAACGAACAATTTGATTAAACGAAAGCAAAACTGACCTGATCAATGGATGTGTTTGTCACAGTGAAAACAGTTTAATATAGGCTACTCTTTTATTTTTGATGATACAGTTGAAAAAGAGACATTATTCAAAACTGAATAGTTCACTTCACCTAAAAGTTTATTCGTTCTTCTTTTTTTCATTTTGTAGATGACTGACCAACAAAATATATTAAAATTAAAAAACAAAACGAAATCCGTTCCAAAAATATTTTTCTTCCGACAAAAATATATGAATTGTATATTTTTGTAAGTCCCCGTCCTTTACATAATTGTGCAGTGTTTGTTTCGCTCTATCGGGAAAAAAAGGATTCATTTATTGCTCCACTGTAATTGTTGCATCACAAACCTCTGGGATATATATTGGCTACATTTTTTATACTAATAGTTTTAATAACTTATTTCTAATAACTGATTTCTTATCTTTGGCATGATGACAGCACATAATATTTTACTAGATATTTTTCAAGATACTAGATACTAGCTTAAAGCGACATTTAAAGGCTTAACTAGGTAAATTAGGCAGGTTAGGGTAATTAGGCAAGTTATTGTATAATGATGGTTTGTTCTGTAGACTATCGAGAAAAATATTACTTAAAGGGGCTAATAATATTGACCTTAAAATGGTTTTAAAAAATCAAAAACTGCTTTTATTCTAGCCAAAATAAAACAAATAAGACTTTCTCCAGAAGAAAAAATATTATCAGAAGTACTGTGAAAAGTCCCTTGCTCTGTTAAACATCATTTGGGAAATATAAAAAAAGAAAAGAAAAAAAGGAGGGCTAATAATTTTACTAGAATACTTTAGACAGCTATGAACTATCCGACTATAATAAAAATGCATAACAGACACTTTCTCTCTCGTTTTCCCTCTCTAGATGGCTTTACTCCTCTGATGATTGCGTCCTGCAGTGGAGGAGGGCTCGAAACGGGAAATAGCGAGGAAGAGGAAGACGCTTCAGCAAACGTCATCAATGATTTCATCTATCAGGGCGCCAACCTTCACAACCAGACAGACCGCACGGGTGAGACGGCTCTACACCTGGCTGCCCGCTACGCCCGCTCAGACGCCGCGAAACGACTGCTGGAGGCCAGTGCTGATGCTAACATCCAGGACAATATGGGCAGGACTCCATTACATGCCGCTGTGGCTGCTGATGCCCAAGGCGTCTTCCAGGTATGTGGAACAATATACAGTCGGGGAAATAAGTATTGAACACATCACCATTTTTCTCAGAAAACATATTCCTAAAGGGGCTGTTGACTTGAAATTTCACCAGATGTTGGCCAATACGGAAGTTACTGAAACTGCAATTCATCGAAATTCCGCTAGTCCTGGCTCCATAATAGAGCAAATTTCAATTGAGCCCACTGTTAGAATGGCCAACTTTATAGCAAAAAAAAAGGAGTTTAAAGCCGGGTACAAAGAAAGATTTTGGTTAATACAGCTAATATTACCCTTCATGACAACTGTGAGGGGGGTGAATTTTTTTATAACTCATCAGTTTCCTTTATATTAGGTTATATTAAGTTTGCATAATTAAGGGCGTGGCCACTTGAGTGACAGCTAGGTCTCGTTGGTCGCCGTCACGTCACCTCAGCTGAATCCTGCAGATTAGCCACTGAACTCGGCATATTTATCGTATTTCTGTGTTGTTTTATGTGGCTTTACACAGTCAACTGCCTTTTGGGATTATTTCCTACAATTATCAGATGGCATGCTGAGTGCACTTAATTGTGCTCACAAACCATTCACGTGACCTCCGTTTCCCATGTGAGTAAAGTTATATAGTGTCTGTAGCTCCGCTCACTCTCCGCCTCTTTGCCCTTGTTTGGCCGCGCCTACTTGTGGCTTCTTTTGATCTCTTCAGAAACCTATGGGTGACATCACGGACACTACGTCCCTATATTTTACAGTCTATGGTAACAACCAAAGAAATCCATATATGCAAAGAAAACGAATCTAATTAGTTTACAAATGAAGTTATGTGTAATAAAATGAAATGACGCAGGGAAAAACTAGTGGATACATGAAGAAAGGGAGGTGTAGAAAGGCAGTGAAAGCCCAGACAGCAGCTGAAATCTCTCAGTAGTTCTTCAGCAACCCTCTGCTCTTCGTCAGTGTGAATGAATATTAGCTGCTTCAGTCCAACATCTACATTAGGAGGAAGGTGAATCCAGGGTGGACATTTCAGCAAGACAATGAGCCAAAACACAGCCGAGGAAACTCTCAGATGTTATCAGAGAAAGAAAATGAAGCTGTGGAATGGCCAAGCCAATCACCTGACTTGAATCCGATTGAAAATCTAAAATAAAGCTCTGATTTGATAGATAAGACCCACAGAAGTATCGAGATTTCTACATTCTGTTGAAGTCTTTGAAAAACTCACAACTGAACAATGCATGTGACTTCATTCTCCATATAAGAAGCGTCTTTAAGCTGCCATCACCAAAAAAAAACCTTTTATATAAAGTATTAAATACATTTCAGTACTTTCTCCTTGTGTCATTCCATTCTTATTACACATAACTCATATTTCAGATTTTTATATTTGTATAGTTTATCTATTTACCAAAATCTGGTTCAATTTAACCCCAACAGCTCCTTTAGAAATATTACTCTCAGGAGAAAACATGCCGTGTTCAATACGTATTACCCTCACTGTAATGCGGTTGATGGAAATGATATTGCTTGTGTCTGTTTTCCTAAAGATGTTAACCATTGTTTCTCATGCAGATTTTGATACGGAACCGCGCCACAGATCTAGACGCCCGCATGCATGATGGCACCACACCTCTGATACTGGCCGCAAGACTGGCGGTCGAGGGCATGGTGGAGGAACTCATCAACTGCCATGCTGACGTTAATGCCATTGATGACTTTGGTATGACTATTAGACTGCCGTGCATCATTCACTCTCTCAGTTATAGTAAATGTAGCTACACTACCAGTCAGAGGCTTTACGCATTATTTTTATTAGCATTTCTTTATAGGTTTTGTGAATGCTCTCATTGAAAAGAGTTTTTATTGTGTTCTTTTTCAGACAATGAAAAATTGTGGTAATTAATTATTATTATTATTACTATTATTATTATTAATAATAATATTTTATTATCACTATTATTGTTTTTGTATTATTATTATTATTATTATTATTAATAATAATATCATCATCGTTATTATTTTATTATCATTATTATTATTATCATTAATAATAATTTATAATCATTATTTATTATCATTATTATTATTATTATTTCATTAATATTATTAATAATATTATTTTATTAGTATTATTTTATTATCATTATTATTATTATTCCATTATCATTATTTTTATCATTGTTATTATTATTATTTTATTATCATTATTATTACTATTATTATTTATTATTATTATTTTATTATCATTATTATTATTATTATTTGATTAACATTATTATTATTATCATTATTATTATGATTATTATTATTATTATTTGATTATCGTTATTGGTATTATTTTTATTATTATTATTATTATTAATGTTAATATTATCATTATTATTATTATTATTATTATTTTTATTTAATACTTATTCTATATTATACCAATCCAAAAGTGAGTGAAGAGATTTGTGAAGTGTCAGAAAATTAGAACATTTGAACATTTTATTTACTATAAAATGCTGAAAAAAATAATTAAAATGTAAAATAAAAAAAACATATTTAAAAAATGTAAGCAGTTGAATTATTCTTAACACTGATGATAATTATAATAAATGATTCTTTAGTATCAAATGAGTATATAAGAATGATTTTTGAATAATAATGTAATAATCAGGAATAAATTACATTTAAAATGTAAGAAAATTGTAGTTGACTATTAATATTTGTCTTTTTTCAATATCTTTCTTTTTTTATATTTATTTAATTTAATTTCAGTATTAAACAGTTTAAAATGCAAGTAAAGACATTTTTAATGTTACATAAAATGCAAAAAAAATGTAATTAAAATATCCTGAAAAAGTATTAGTTTCCACAAAAAAAAACTGTTATTTACTTCTGTCTTTATTTTATTTCTTTGTTAATTTTGATGGCTGGTGGAATATTTTTTTGTGAGAATTAAGCCAAGCATCATTAAACGTCTAATTTGTTACTATATTTAGTTTTTCTCCTCAAATGTACTGTAATAGAGCACATGCTGAAGTGTTTTCTGTTTGCGACACAGGTAAATCTGCTCTTCACTGGGCAGCAGCTGTGAACAATGTAGATGCAGCGATGGTGTTGCTTAAGAATGGGGCAAATAAAGACATGCAGAACAATAAGGTGAGCAGCACTTGATTCTTTTTTATAATGCTATGTTCAGGTAGACAAGGGACAGTTCAGCCAAAACTGAAAATACTGTCATCATTTGGGAGTCCTCCATCTGCCCAAACTTGCATGACTTTGAACACAATAGAAGATATTTTGAAGAATGTTGTTGACCAAGTGGTAATGCGATGAGATACCAAACGCTATGTGTTACAAACCAATAGAAACATTTAAATATCAGTTACTGCATTCCCTATAAGGGTTATAATCTAATTAAACATATTTAACATTATTAAAAGTACATAGGCTGTCGGCGCCAATAGCTTAGTGGTACTGTTCGCCGACATATAGCACAGACATGCTCACAGCGACCTGATTCGATTTCCCAGCTCGAGGTCCTTTGCCGATTCTTCCCCGCTCTTTGCTCCCAATGCTTTTCTGTCTGAAATCTCTACTGTCCTATTATAACAAAGACCAAAAGCCCCTTAAAAATAATTCTAAACAAAAAAATTACATAGGCTGAGTGACTGTTTCTTGTTGGTTTGGACTTACTTTCATTTTCAAACTTCTGCTTGTTATTTTATTTTCAAGATCTGTGGGGAACTACCTGCCACTGCTTGAATGTTACGTAAAATGGTGTTCAAACTCACTTTAGTAACATTTAATACTGAATATAGCACATAATAAGTACCTGAGGTAACTGTTGGTATAGTAGTTTATGGCAGTGGGTCTCAACCACGTTCCTGAAGAACCAGCGCCTCTGCTTATTTCCCATGTTTACTTAACCAAACACACCAGATTCAGATCATCAGCTCATTAGCAGAGACTGAAAGACCTGTAATGGGTGTGACAGAGAAAGGAGACATCCAAAACATGTAGTGTTGGTGGTTCTCCAGGAACGTGGTTGAGAAACACTGGTTTATGGTGTTTTTTTGCCATGATATTTCTAAAATAGACCTTCCGAGTGTTGCAGATGGTTAGGACAAATACTCCTTCAGGATTCGATTGGTGCACAGATTTAAAAAACAAGTTCAGAACATGAAACTATAGTGTCATGGCTTTTAAATGATGCCTTGTTTTTGATACATGGTTGAATATTTTTACTAAACGAAGGTAATAAATTCTACAGACACGCCCAGATGGCCTGTATTCAGGCTGTTGCCAGTTGTTAACCTGGAAAAGCTACCTTTTATTGCATGTCACAGCAGGCATCGAGTGTTAGGACAAAGAAATAGTGTAGCTAGGCACCAAAGAAATATTATGGAAGTCAATTTGGATCATTAACTGTTTGGTTACCAACATTCTTAAAAATATTTGTGTTCAGCTAAATAAGAAACCCACATTATATTGGAATAACTTGGAGTTTGTACATGATTCAGGTGAAAACTATGACAAGAAACCATTTTTATTAAGCTTGTGCCTAACAAATGATTTCCCCATGATCAGGAGGAGACTCCTCTTTTCCTGGCGGCAAGGGAAGGAAGTTACGAGACGGCTAAAGTTCTTCTGGAGCATTTTGCAAACCGGGAAATCACAGACCACATGGATCGACTCCCGCGAGACATCGCGCAAGACAGAATGCATCATGATATTGTGCGTCTTATTGATGAATACAACCTAGTGCGCAGTCCTCCCATGCACAGCGCCCCGCTCTGCACCACGCTTTCCCCACCCCTCTGCTCCCCCAATGGCTTCATGGGCAACATGAAGCCCTCGGTGCAAAGCAAAAAACCTCGTAAGCCCAGCACTAAAGGCATCGGCTGCAAAGACGGCAAAGATATGAAAGTCAAAAAGAAGAAAGCACAAGACGGAAAGGGAAACTTATTAGACAGCTCGGCTGTTCTCTCTCCGGTGGATTCCCTAGAGTCGCCTCACGGGTATATTTCTGACATCGCCTCGCCACCCCAGATGACATCACCCTTCCAACAATCGCCCTCCATGTCGCTCAATCAGCTACAGGGAATGTCAGACAACCACATGGGCGTCAGCCATCTTGGAATTGGCAACAACCAAGATCTTTCCCATATACAGTTTGATCCATTGCCTCCACGTCTCACTCATCTTCCAGTGGCCGGATCGAACGGTTCAAACGTCATGAACGGCCAATGCGAATGGCTAGGGCGGATGCATGGAAGCATGGCTCCGCAAAACCAGTTCACAGCCATGAGAAACGCCTCAGGTCAAGCCAACCTTCACCAATCAGGCTTGATGACGTCACATCACAATGGCCGCCCTGCCACGCTCTCTCAAATGATGAACTATCAAAGCATGCAGAACACACATCTAATGCAGCAGATGCAGCAGAGCATGCAGCCGCGGCCCCAGCAGACCGGCGTCCAGCTGCAGAGCCAGAGCCAGAACTTCATCGGGGGTGATCTGGGTGGACCGGAGCTCCAGCAGAGCGCAGGGAACAGCATGTCCATCCATACTATAATCCCCCAGGAGACCCAGCTGCTCAACCCGTCCTCTCTGGGGTCCAGCATGGCGGGCACGCAGTTCCTGACGCCACCTTCCCAGCACAGTTACACTCCCGCATTGGACGCCAACACTCCCAACCACCAACTTCAAGTGCCTGACCACCATCCTTTCCTCACGCCATCTCCCGGTTCTCCAGACCAGTGGTCCAGCTCGTCACCCAATTCCAACATGTCCGATTGGTCGGAGGGTATTTCCAGTCCTCCCACCAGCATGCAGTCACAAATCGGACACATGCCCGAGCAATTCAAGTAGAACAATGAGATTCGCTAAATGAAGGCACATTCCATAAGCCTGCTTATACTGAAGGGTCTTTTATACGCCGCTTGTACTAACCTTTTTTTTTCTTTAATTTATTGACATTTTGTTATTTATATACTTGTCATCATTTTTTTTTTAATTTGGGCACAAAACATTAAATCTTAAAGTCGGCATGAAATGAAACTTAAAATTGTTGATTTTTCACCTAACATTACATCCGATTGAAACGATTTGTGAAATAAATAAATAAAAATTTAGGGCGGGGCTTGATTTTTGTCCAAGTGGATCATTAGAAGATTTGCCAAATTGGATAATATTTGAATGCCAGTTGTGGAGGATCAAGGCTGGTTTATACTTCTGCGTCAAATGACCCACGGCGATTGCCTTGTATGTAGCCATGCATTCATACTTCTGTGTGCTGTTTGTGTTGCTCTGCAATAACACATCTGAATCGCTAGGTTTTATTATGTTCTTTTGTGTCGAGTTTCATCAAAGGTGTTTTTTTTTTTACGTTACCTTAATGTACAAGTAGCTTAAACTCGTTCATTCTGAGGCGGTAACCGGCGGACGTGCAACAACTTTAATCATACGGTTAACACAAAACAAAATTTTCCATCTGGAGGTCCTTCATGAGACTCAACACTTGTAAACACTCACTCCAATGGGTTCGCGCGGCTCTCACCCTCGCCCGCACTCGTCAGCGCTACCGAGGCGACTAGTTATAAAGCTTGCACTATGAGTCGATGCAACGTAGTTTTATTGTTTGAGAGGTGCACATCAGCATCGTCGTATAAATCATCCTTTAGTTTCTATCGTAGGGTTGTCCCGGTAATGAATTTCGGTACCAATTATTACTCAAATTTTTAAAACTTCCATTTGCTGCTAATATTTAAGTGCAGTTGTGTATACGTGCTCAACCGCGCTGAAATATTAGTGGGAAATGGACATTTTTAAAACTAAAGTACCGAATGGTATCAAAATTCAGTATCGTGACGACTCTAGTCCACTGTTATCATTGTTGGTTAAATAAATGTTTTCAGATGCCCGATGACGAGAACGAGGAGCTAAATTTTACAAATAGAATCGTACTAATCGTAATAATAAACCTGTACAAAACGATGTAATATTTCTAAAAAACACGATCGCAATATATATATATCCATGCCTAATATCCGATGGACAGGAATTGATAAATTTTAATAAATTGTTAGAATATTGATGTCTGTGAAGCAGACTAGTCTAGAGACTGTTGTATAAACTCGATTTCATATAAAATTCACTTTAATGTGTGGTATGACTAAAAAGTGTTTGTAAACGAATATTTACTTAACTCAAATAAGTAGCGACTTGGAACCGGAAACAGTATTCAATACGTCACGACTTAACAAGCGGATATTTGTGCAATTAATAACTCAGTCCCGCACTGATAGCCCCGCCCTAAAGACAGACCATGTGACCCACAGTAAGAAAAGTTATTTTAAAGGGGGGGGGGGGGGGGGGGAAGTTATGTTATTTTATTTAAAATAAAGATTTTAAAACTTGCAGTACCGATTGGTACCACCGGGATCTACTGTCGGTCAAATGAAATGTTTTCCGATTCCGATGATGAGAAGAGCTAAATTTTACGAACGAAATCATACTATATTTGTTCGAACCACTAGCTTATGCGAAACGAGGCCTGCTCTGTTAGCCCCACCGTCGTTTTGAGGGGGCAGGAAAGGTTGTGGTGTTTGACTAAAGATTAGGAGCATTATTATGAAATAAAGATTACAAAAATTGCAGTAGCGATAGGTACCAAAATTCAGTGTCGCGACAACACCAGTTTACCGGAATAACCGTCAGTCAAATTAAATGTTTTCAAATGCCCGATGATGAGAACGAGAAGCTAAATTTTGCGAACAGAATCGTACTATATTTGTTTAAACCACTAGCTCACGTGAAACAAGACCTGCACTGATGGCCCCGCCCTAAATCAGATCATGTGACCAGAAGTTTAAAAAAGTCGTTTTGAGGGGGAGGGAAGGTTATGGTATTCAATTAAAGATTATGAGGAGTCATTTTTTAATAAAATGAAGTTCACCGATTTGTCATTTATAACAAGCACTACTATTTACATTTTTATTTCATGCCGACTTTAAACAATGAAGAAGGTCAGTGGTGTAATAACCGTAATACACTGTAGTCAAATGTACACACTGGGTATTTATTGGTCTTAAAATATGCCTGTATTTTTATTTTATGTTTTTTTTTTTTTTTTTTCAGTAGATCGGTCATCGTTTCAGTTTTATTTGAACTAATATTGTAAAAACTTTGTACAAATGCGAAGTTCATGTACGGGCATTATAGAGAGCATGTTTTTGTACAACAAACTTCAGTGTTAAAGTAGATTTATGTTGTCTGAAACAAGCTGCTTTTCCGTTACTAGAAGACGAATGAATTTGCTAACGTTTCTGATATTTGTTTCGTTAGGTTTATGTGTGTGCGTCGCAAGGTTTAAACTACAAATAAGTAGTGGTATTATAATTGAACATTTGTATAGTTCAAATTGATTTTTTTTTCACATTCTTTCTCTGTTTCTTGTATAATAAATTCTTGCAAATGCAGATTTTTGTAAACGTCCGCTGTGAGCGTGGATGTCAAAGTGAGGATCTGAGCTATTTACAGGAAATACTTGATATTAGCTTGTGTGAAACAAGTCGTAATGTCAAGATCTCTGTATCTTTCCTCTGGTTTTGTAGAACTGGTCACGTGGCCAACAAGTGTCTGGGATTTATGAGGTGTTTCAAATTGAACTTCTCTTCACTGTACTTCCAGTTTTGTATCTTCGTTTGAGCCTATGGCTGATGTATATAGATATATTTTATGCGTTGTCATGTAAACAGGATTTTGTTTCAGAAATCTTAAGTGTGCCATGGAAATTTGAACTATTTTAATGCTACGTAGTTATGTTTTCTATCATACGCAGAACGTATATTTTTTTCTCAGTATCACTGAGTAGAGATAAATCTAAGAATATGTATACACAAGAATGATTAGAGGTTACGTCATAAAGAATAACATACAGATGATTTTTGACTCGATATTTATTGACCACCAATAATCGTCCATAAAAACACGTTAAAAGGTCTCTAAAGCAGTGTTTCTCAACCACGCTCCTGAAGGACCACCAGCTCTGCAAATTTCCATGTCTCTCTAACTGAACGCACCTGATTCAGATCGTCAGCTCATTAGCTGAGACTGTAAGACCTGTAATGGGTGTGACAGACAAAGGAGACGTACAAAACATGCAGTGCTGGCGGTCCTCCAGGAACGTGGTTGAGAAACACTGCCCTAAAGGGATATGGTGGTGGTGTCATATATATCCTCTTTAAGCCATCAGTACTTCTGAGTTCATCGGATTTGAACAGCACTGAGTATAAAATGTCTGTAAATATTACCCATCTGCAAAAGTGTAGTTTACATGCAGAGTATCTGTCAGTTCTACTGTCTGTACAGTTTCTATGAATAATAAAAGATCCCATTGTGTATTCAGAATTAAGTCTCCTTTGTTGCTTTTCTTAAGTCTTCCTGCACCAACATTTTCTTTTTGCACATTTTATTTGTGTCAGTGATTTAACCATGACACTACTCAAACAACACTGTAGAATACAGTATTTTGGCCAAGCTAACATTGCTATGGTTAGTTGTTGCCATTGTCCAGGGTTGTCGCAGAATTTCTGAAACATCATATATCGATGTTAAAACGCCTATTTCAGGCATTAAAAGGTTTTTGTATAAAATCTACATCACTACTTCACATAAGACTTGTCATCGATCCCGGTTGTAAGAGCAACAAATAATAACTTGACTTCTAGTTGATCATTTGTAAAAGTGGCAGAAGGTCTGATGAATCATCTGTTGAACTGCATCCCAATGACCCAACATCAAAATTCCTGAAAGCAAAGAAGGTCAAAGTGCTCCAGGATTGGCCAGCCCTGTCACCAGATATGAACATTATTGAAGATGAATCCAACGAATCTTGATGAACTCTGGGAGTCCTGCAAGAATGCTTTCTCTGCCATTCCAGATGACTTTCTTAGTACGTTATTTGAGTCATTACAGAGATGTATGGATGCAGCTCATGGGAATCATACACAATAAAAAAAAAATTCCACTGCAGCATGACTTTATATTCTATACTGTACAATATTTTTAAGTGACAAGACTTTTGTCTAAGCAAAGTCAGACCTTACTGTCCTAATTAAATAATTCAAAATCAAGACATGAACATACTTTATTTTGGTAAAATAAGCATAATCTAGAGGCTTTCATATAAGCCACTTCTGATACCAAATGATCAACTATAAGTCAAGTTATTATTTGTCCTATATTATAAGTCTTGTCAGGTAGTGTAAGATTGTTATCCCTATTGTTATCTTTAGCCTATTTTCAGCTCCATTTTATTCCTTTCACGCTCAGTCACTAAATTCAAATGCAGTAAACAGAAGACTAGGCCTACCTGCTAACTGTGGCAAACATGCCAGGACAATATATTATTGTAAATATATTTTAGGATTTTGGGCTTAAAAATGTCCACTTCAAAGACTGATGGGTTTCAAAAAGTATAAAATCTGTAAAAGGCGCACCTTTGTAGCCAAGAAAACAGTAACGTTACCTCAGATTTTGTTTTTCCAAAATCTGAGGAAAAGTGTCCATTGTTATCATATGGTTAATAAAGTACCGCAAAATATTCGAGCTAAAAACATTTGAATATTATGCAAAGAAATTATGCACAACATCAGCCTGTTTTTGTTTCCGGTTTATTATGGGCAGTGGAAAGTTATGGAAATTCAGCTTTTTATCCGTCAAAGTCAATGGATTTGATTTTTAGTGAGTGAATATCCCTAAATATCTATTTTTTTGCTATATCAATCATAGTTCCTAAAACAGGAAAGGGTTTCAGTGTTGTTTTTGTTTTGTTTGTTCTTCATGGTAGAAGTATTATAATAAATCGTATGAATGACAAACTTACGTGAAGATGTGAAATCGACGAGAGGTAGTCTAGAAGGGATACAGCTGCGGATACTCACGTCAATATTGCATAATTGTTGTGACACGTGCACTGCAATAATAAATACTTTTACATTGAGGGGTAGGTTTACAGTTGGGGTAGATGTTAAACATATAATTTAATGGCTATTTTAATAAATAATATGAACAGTACTCACCCAGCCGGCACACGACCGACCTTCAACGTTGAAATATGGTTGAAATAAGGTCAGATGCGTTTTGAACGTTGAAATAATGTTGATAGAACGTTTAATGTTGAACGGTTGAAAAACAGCCTGCATATGACAAGGCTTCAACGTTGAAATGTGGTTGAAAATACGTCAGTTGTTGCTTTAATGTTGAAACAATGTTGAATGATAAATGGTTGAAAAAAGTTACAGAAATCCTTGTACAAATCAACGTTGGCATTTTTTTTATCATGATCTGTATGTTGAATTAACGTCATGGCTTCACCCAATATTCAACATGTTTGGTTACCATGGTATCGGAGGACTCGGCGCACGCGGCCACGCGCAGCGCTTCACTTCACTTAATTACGAACACCTGACCTGCAGTGCAGCAGAATTCAGAGGTAAGCGTGTTTTTAGATGCTTTAATGTTTTATTTACCCCCCCAATTTTGTTTTACACACAGTGTATCTTAAATGTGACTTAGTGTAGTATTTCGAACTTTGAAGCATTTAAAACTTTCCAGTTTGGTTTAGTTTGCGCTCCGGTGACGCAGATAACCTCGAGGTAATGTCACATGTTTAACGTTAGTCTAAATGAGCGTTTTTATGGCAAATTCAAAGCGATAAACTCCAAACGCAGTTTAAAGTTACTGAGCAATGTTATAAAACAATATCATTTTTATACGCTGTATAATTATTGTTATTATTACAAGGTGAACTGCTTTCGTTTCACTGTTGTTGTTTTTGCTTTTAGACATGTAACTTAACGTACTCCAGAGACGCAATAACTTGCACAGCATTGAATGGAAAAGGCTTTGTCCATGTAAGTTTACTTTACCTTTAACTAAGCTAGCCTATCTGTTAAATCTTCTTGGTGCTTTGGTTGGTGATATTCTCTTTCTAATCTGTTTGTTTATTGATTGTTAGGCTATGTTGTGATATTATATTGTTATATTGATATTATTATTGTGAAATCATGTTGTGATGTTACTATGTGACAGTATTGGGGAGCAAATATGTATTTAGTGAGAAATTAATGTTTAAATTACACTTTGTATAGTAGCAGATAAGAGGTGTAATGGGATTTAACTTTCTGGGTTTTCTGGAAGGTCCAGTTGAGGGCATCAAGAACACGCAGATAGCCTAAACCTGTGTCAGCCTGGACAGACTTCAGTTCTGCTATTCAACGCCAAGGCTTTTGTATGGATGTCTGACTACTACTGTGTTCTCTAAAGGTATTACTGGAGCAAAACAATAGCACCTGTTACAGTGAAATTTGTATACATAAAAATAGTGATACATGTGTAGCAGGTCCAGTACATGTGATGTCATTGAGAAGTTGTTTTTATTAAATGTCATTAAAACAAATAAATAAACATGCTATTTAAATAAATCTAAATATTAAAAACTTGAGGATTAAGAAGAAATTAAATGCATCATCTGTCTTGCGAAAAGGGTCTACTTAAGAATTCTGGTGTTTCCCAACTGAAAGGGATAGTTCACCCAAGAATGAAAATTTACTCACATTTTACTTCCCAAATGGTTTAAAACCATTATGAGTTTATTTTGTTGAACACAAAAGAGGCTATTCTGAAAAAAAACTAAAAACCTGTAAACATTGACCTCCATAGTAGAAAAAAATACTATAGAATTCAATTGTTATAGATCTGCAGCTTTCTTCAAAATATCTTCTTTTGTGTTCAACGTGGTCAGTAAATGACGACAGAATACAAATTTTAAACTATCCCTTTAGTTTTCTGTCCTACTGTACATGCAGACTTTTGCAGAAGTGCTACTCCTTCTAGAGTTTTTCTCAACCATATGTCTAAAGCTTTAAACAGCTTTTACAGTAAATGTAATGGTTCACAACAACTTGTAATTATTAAATGTGTTGAATGTTTCATGGTTCTTTACTGCAGCCTTTGTTAAAAAAAAAAAAAAAAGAAATTTTTTCGAGAATCTGAAATTTGAATTCTGGAAATGCTGGCACCAGTAGTGGCGAAGGGCTTCCTGACGATATCACACCTAATTCTTCACTTCTCTTAGTTAGGAATATTCAGATGTATGAGTCAAAATTATTGAGTGTGGCGATTATTATAAGACAAATTTGGATTCAATAAAAAATAAATATTTGAATTTCACTTTGTATAATAGCAGATACCAACTTAATTGTAACCTCTTATTTCATTTATTGCAGGTTTTCTGGAAGCTCCATTTGAGGGCATCAAGGACATACTGATGGCCTAAACCAGTGTCAGCCTAGACAGACAGACATCTATTGCAGTTCTGCTACACAAGACCAAACTCTCTGCTTTTGTATGGATGTCTGACTAGTACGGTGTTCTCTAAAGGTATAACTGGAGCAAAACAACAGCATCCGTTACAGTGAAATTTGTGTTCATAAAAGATAGTGATATGTGTAACAGGTCCAGTACATTTGTCATAAAGGTTAAATCACAGTAAGTACTGTAAAAATAACTTGTTTGCCTCTGCCACAACAGGTCATGGTGTGTGCTTACTGCTCGTAGTAAACACACACGCTGATCTGATGCGGGAGAGATATATGCAAACATATTTGTATTTACTGTTTTGTTTTGCCTCACTAAAGTGTTGTTGGAGCTTGGTATGTTCACAGTTGAAATCACTAAAGTCACATGGAACGTTTTGACAATGTGTTTTGTGCCTTATCTGGACAATGACCATCTTGGGACCATTGCTGTCTGTAGAGGATGAGGAGCATTTAATCTAAAATATTTTAGTTTGTGTTCTGAAGATTAACAGGTCTCTGGGATGACACAAGTAATTAATAACAGAACCTATATGAACACTTAATGTGACATGTAATAGTGAAATAGTGGTCCTACATTCACAAATGTGAGCCATTATTATAAGACCCATGTGAACATGCAATTTTTATGATACTAATAATAATGGAATAACAAATTGCTATTACTGTTGTGTTTGTGAGAGAGAATCAAACCATATATTCTACACATTTTCTTGATGATTTACTGAAATATTTGTCTACATGTTCCACTGTCACAGGTGCTCAGTTTTGCTGCAGTAATGCTAAACACAATAGATGTACTTTATGCAAAAAAAAAAAAAAAACTACTAAATATTTAGCATGCAGACCTGCAAAGTGAAGGAGTAATGTCAGGTTTAGATTATAGCATGAGTTTTCACTATTGTGAATGTGAAGCCATTCATTCACAATGAATTGGAATAGCAAACCTCATTATTGATTTTGTAGGAAACTCACCTGGTGTTTGAGAAATAAATATGTATTTAACTGCTAGACTGATATAGATGTTTT